TTGGGGAAGTTGCTGTTGTTGTTGGGGAAGTAGTTGTCGACGAGCCAATTGTTTCGGAGGCTTCGATTGCGGGACATGGACCATTCTTGCACCATAGTCCAAAAATGATGCAAGCTGGTCAATCTCAGGATCTTCTTGGTCGACATAAGGCATATACAACCTCATGCACATACTATTCATTTCCTCCTCAGTGGGATAAAGAATTGGTACGGCCATTCCCTGTATATTAAAAGAACATACATTCAATGATTATTTAGGTGGAAACATATTTAAAAAAAAAACAAATATGCCTATTTTGTAAAATTTACACCTATAAAAATATTGTATTTAAACCCTTCCCTCGCCACTGTGCATGAGGTCGTCTATCTGTCTAACCTCAACCAATGAAACCCGGCGTGCCTCCCATTTGAGGATTCTAGGAAGATGTCCCTCAACCATCTTTGTAAACGTGGCGCCGATGGTTGGAAATGTTTCGAATGCCCAAACCTGCATTAAACCAATTTTTTTAAGTCTAGTAAACCAATTATGGTATTATTTACTATAAGGCCATGAAAAATTATGCATATAACTCTATGACATACCTGGAAGGCCCAAGGAAACCCGCATATTGAGTAGGTTTCCTTGATGCTCTTATTACGTCCTTTCCGAACCCATTTCTGGAATTTCTCTCTCAAGTTCTTCTTCAAAGCCTGCATGGTGCATTCAAAAGACACCCTGCCCCATGGATAGCTGTTGAAGAATTATAAATCGTCAACATAAGACAGCCAATCCAGTGGGATGGTCTTCTTCTCGCCCCCAGATAATAATACTTGTGCTAAAAAATAAATGATAGCGATCTTTGCTTTATCGCTACCTTTTATCTTCTTCACTGTGAGCAATTTTCTTAAATCAGCAACAATTACTACGTGGGACTTAAAATGCTCCAATAATCTTCTATTCTTCGAAGCTTTCAAGATCACGTCCGGCTCTGGAGTTTCCCCGCGGTTCCATCCAGTAATTAATGCAAATCCCCTCATTCCAAACCGAGTTGTGGTTCCATTAACCATGAACCACAACTCATGTCTCTTTTTTGTTTCTATCCGCCTCAAAAGCAGATATTGTGTCAATACTCCAAAATATATCATATTTTCAGACATCGAAATAAAATGTCCGAAGGCAGACTCCTTGAAAATTGGCATTTCTGTTTCGGGGTCTAGATTCTGCCTGATTACCTCCAAAGCCTCGATCTTTGACTTCATAGTCACTTTCACTGGGAAATACTGCCGCACAGGATCCATGATCATCTTTAGATGTCCGATCCCAGGAAGTTCACCTGTGTTGTACTTTGGGAGGTCATACTGAAAAAGAAGAAAAAACACACCGGTCAGAACCGACCAAAATGACAGAACCGTCTAGAATAGACTAAGAAACCAACAAGAACCGACTGAACCGACCATGACCCGACCCAAAATCCCCGCAGAACCGACCAAACAGACAGAACCGACCAAAACCGACCTGAACCGACCAAAACCGAACAGAACCGATCAAAACCGACCTGAACTGACCAAGAACCGACTAAGAACCGACCACCAACCGACCAAGAACCGACCAGAACCGACCATACTCGACAAGAACCGACTAAGAACCGACCACCAGAAACGACTTAAAACCGACCTAGAACCGACTGAGAACAGACCAGAACCAAAACCGACTAAGAACCGACTATGAACAGACCAATGTTGCTTATATTAAGTTTGTGTTCTTGCAAAAATATATAAGAAAAAGTAAAACAAGAATATTACCTCAGCAGATTCCGTTGCCTCGTCGACAACTATTCGGGAAATGACCGTTTTAGTTGAGGAAGAAGAGCTGGTTTTTGATGCCATTTTAGTCAGATTTTGGTGAGCATGTGGTCGGTTTTTGTGTTCGGGAATTTGGTGAGTCGTCGGGGTCAGTTTTTGGTCGGTTTTAGTGGGAACGGAGTCGGTTTTTGATGAACGGTCGGTGTTTGGTGAGGTGGTCGGTCGGCCGAGATGAGAGAGATCGGAGAGTGGATCGGAGAGAGAGAGAAAGAGGTGAGAGGAAAGCCGGCGCTCGGCGAGAGGTGATCGGAGAGAAAAACCGGTGGTCGGTCGTGAGAGAGCTCAATCGGGGGAGAGATGGTCGAGCGGTCGGTTTTGGGGGGAAGAGAGGGTCGAGCGGCGGTCAGTTTTGTGAGAAAATGAGATTTTTGAAAATGACCTAGTACTAATAGGACCCATTTTTTGTCACGTAAGATACACGTCATCATTTTTTTGTTATAAAAAAAACTGGCCTATTTCCTCAAATTCTAATTTTCTCTTGTCTCTTTTATCAAATTTTCTCTTGAATCACACACACAGAGGAAACCCAAACAACAACAAGAAGAAGAACGACGACCATGGAATCCGATACCCGCGACGGCGGTATCACCGGCACCGCCGCCACATGGAGCTCTGCAACAAACTGGACCGCCGTCCATGGCACTCTCGTAAATACGATCACTTTCGACTCTTCTCTTTCTCCGATCGACGGCCACGACGAGACCATCGACCTCAATTCCGTCGCTAATCGTCCTCTTATTCTGAGACCTTATGCACTGGACGCCGGTCCCTGTGAGATCACCGGTGAGTTAATTTCATTTTTCGTTTTAGTCTGTTTGGATTATGAGTAACCGAAGGAAAATTGGAAGGAAATTTAACTCTTTTCTTGTTCTAAGAACTGAAAGACGTACACTTGAAGGGCTTGCTTGTAATGTCAATTGCTTTTTTTTTGTATGATATTAGTATTTTATTTTTGTTTGTCAATTCCTTAAATTTGCTTTCTTGTTTAGCATGTTTATTCTTTCAATTTGCTGTTTCAGTCTACACCATTGGAATTTTTGTGAAAATGAGTTCTTTTGTTGATAAAATTTGGGATTTACCAATTCGCAAGATACGTTTTTTTTTTTTTTTTTTTTTGCATTTATAAGCCCTTTGTTTTCTGCCGTTTCATGTGATTTTGAAAATCTGAAAGAACAAGAATAATCAATAATCAAGGTCAATATAACAAGAACAAGAGAGAAAATCTGAAAGCTCAATATCGATAATCAAGGTCTTAATTGAAAATACAATACAATGACTAGGCCTAGTTAAGAGAAGTAAAATATAATAACAACTAGTAAATCTTGAATAAAATAATAAAAAAATAAACTTAATTCTAAATCCTATATTTACACCTAAGTAACTGCATAATCTGGTAGTTTTTATCTCTGTTAAGTGTTTGGTCTGATAGCATAGAGAAACAAATGCAGCAAAGTCCAAATCTTTATATTGTTTTTCGATTGTTTCTTGAAGCTTGTGAGGAAAAAAGGAAGGAAAACAATACAAAGATTTGAAGTTCTAAAGCATGTGTTGCAATGTTAAGTTTATGAACTTTCCAACTGTTGAAATAGGAGAGAATTGCTTTATTCGCGTTCACGTATTTTACTGGGAAAGGAATAATAACTTCTTGTACCTCCAGTTACTTTTACACAGAAACATGAGGTCCAGCAGATTTATGTTAAGAGCACGGCTCGAGTCTATGAGATATATTATGAATCGGATCTGCAGAGCGGCAAAGAATATCTCTGTACTGTTCGGTGTGGCATTGCTGCTAGAGACGTGGATAGTGAGGAAGCTCTTTCCCCAAATTTGAAGGGAGCTCATGATAACCCATTGCAGGAAAACTTAAGAAATGACGGCAATCGGACTAGCAGCGAAGATGAATGGGTTGACGTTAGAGTCCCAGATGGCAAGAAGGATAATTCGTTGCCATTGATGACACAGGTAATAATAGCAACTACGTGTGGGACTGTATTTTCTTTATTTATTTACTGAGGGCTAATTGGAGAAACTTTTCAGGATTACTACGAGGCGACAGCACAGATTAGTGATGCACATCCTTGTAGGTCCCTTACGATCCGTCTGCTCTCAGTTCAAAGTAAGGATAGTGTTTATATTGATGAGGTCTATGTGTTTGCTGATCCTGTTGACTCAACTGACTCGGAAAATCAAGCGAATAAGATGGAAAACTCCAGTGGAAATCCTCTTATGGCAATGTTGTTGCCTACCCTTTTGCAAATGTCTAAAACAAAAGGCATCAGCGCCATCAGAACCCAAGATAAACATACTTCTGAGGCCTCTAGAACACAGAATTTCATAGAGAGTACATCAGAAGCAACTTGTTCTACCAACTGTGCGACTAAAATTCAGCAGGCTACCAACTGTGCGACTAAAATTCGGCAGGAACGAAATTCCAGCATTGCTCATCACGGAAAAATGGAGTTGCAGGACGTGAATACCGCTGGTACAAATGCTTCCCAGTTACAAAGGCCCCCACAAGTTTCTCTTGGAGAAAGCAAGGCTGATAGCCTTCCTCCAAATGATCGCGTTGAACGAGCACTAGACCAACTCTTTTCCCGAATGGGCAGAATAGAGGATCTATTTTTAAGATTCGAAGACAACTTGCTAAAGCCTATAAGTAGCATCGAGGCAAGGCTCCTGAGGGTAGAGCAGCAACTTGAAGTCCTCACCAACAAGCAGAAGGACTGTGAACCGCGACTTTACTCGAGATTTTGCGCTCCTAACTTTTCATCTGTCCAATCTGATTCCAACTCTTTCTATCATAGCGAAACTGATTATCCCCGTTGTGAGGAATTTGGATCTAATATTAAGAGTTTTCATTATGATGCGCAGACCATGAATACTCAAACCAACCAAGCTGATGATGTATCTGATTCTGTGAATACTACCCAGTTGCTTCCAAGCCTTGTAGTTACCGCTCCTGAGTTTTTGAATTTTGATGATGAGGAAGAAAACCAAGAATCAGATAGAATCACCGAGTCTTCAGCGGATAAACCAAGAAACGCGATAACAGTTGATGATGCTTTAGCATCTGCACTTGCTGGATTTGTATCTTCAATTTCAAGCCAACCACAAAATCATATTCCAAGTCTTTCAGTCAAAGCGCCTGAATTTTCAAATGAAGAAGAAGATACTGAAGTCGGCGCAGAGGCTTCACCAAGAGATCAACATGAGATAAGAACCGATGGAGCGGAGAACATAAATGGCTCACTATCACATGCATCCTGTCCTTCTTTAGATGGCAAAAAGAAAGTGGAAAAATCTCTCAATGATGATCAATCAGAGGAAACAGCCGAAGAAGTCAAAGCTCCTGAATTTTCAAATGAAGAAGAAGATACTGAAGTCGGCGCAGAGGCTTCACCAAGAGATCAACATGAGATAAGAACCGATGGAGCGGAGAACATAAATGGGTCACTATCACATGCATCCTGTCTTTCTTTAGATGGCAAAAAGAAAGTGGAAAAATCTCTCAATGATGATCCATCGGAGGCAACAGCCGAAGAAGTTGGTGGACGGTACCAGCAGTTTGAGGGAGGAGAGGATGATCAACCTTCTGGCAGGCCTATAAATAAGAATGATGAACAAGCTGATGATGACAAGGCTGGTGCTCAAAATTTTGAGAGAGCAGTAGAGATAGAGGGTGCAGAAGTTAGCACCGAAGCAAACAGCGGTCTGGTCCACAATAAGACTGACGTTCAGTATCAGTGGTTCCTAAATCAGACAGATGCTACTGGCTCTCATACAACAAAGAATGATGCTACATCAATCGCTGATTCAATCACTGAAGCTGAAAACACGAAAGCAGAGTCTGACAACAAGGATCAAGGCATTTTGCGCAATATTTTGGAATCTTCGTGTACCACTGCTTCTGTGGTGGATTTTGAATCGCCAGTCCTGGATGTCAAATTTATCTCTCAGAGCAGTCACAGCAGCAACTTTACCCTTGAAGCCCTTTTGTCTGACTCGCCGGAGTCCAAGTTCGAAGGAGCAACTTGTGCGGAGGAAAGTCATAGTACGACCCCAAGCGATGAGCATGGTGACTTAATCTCAGTGGAGGATGGGGAAGAACCACTTGGTCTTGTCACTAACAACCAAATATATGTGGATTTTGACTACTGTAGTCTACCGCAAGAACATTGGAGCGGTGAGGGTGAAACTCCAATGGCTTCTAGTAGTATTTCCTCCTGCAGCCATGAAACCTTCCCAACAAGTCTCATTTGATGAGGTGCCTCTTTCTACTTGCTTTTTATAAATCTGTACATAAGTCTGGTGATGGTCTATACTTTTGTATGTGCTAATTGTCCTTTCATTCGCAGTTGCGTTTAGAGAAATTCGAAGTGACTTAACATGCCCAAAATGTTCAAACTACTACATTTCTGACTACTCTAGATGCTTTTAATATGTGAACCGTCCGTATTCTTCTGTTCGTTTTATATGTTTATATTAATTCGTTTGGAACCACACATCCAATATTTACAATTGCAAAAATAAGATAAGTTTGTTTGTAATAAAAGTTTATTAGTGCTAGTATTTCCTACATTTTTCGTGGTTTGGCACTTTCATCCCTTTTTTGGCAATTTATACTGCACGCAAATAGAAATAAGATGCCAAAATTCAACGGGAACTATTCATTAAATTTAAGAAAACTTATCAAGACATTCATACACTGCAGACTGAATTCTCTATTGACTATTTGCAGCAAAAGAGATAATTAAAAAAAGAAATAAAATATCTCTATTGACTGATTACGAAAAGATTAAAAAGATATATACTAGTAGCCTTTGCAGGATTATCTTTTTTTTTTTTTTTTTTTCATATTTGGCCCTTCATATTTTTATTCATTTGGCAATTAGGCTGGCTCTAGCTTACCATGAAACGTCCATCCTATAGATAGCTCCTTTTTTTTTTGCCTCTTTTTCTTTTTTGTTTTAATTGATGTAAATGGCTCAAATTTGACTGAAAGAGCTCTATCATTCTTCTTCCATGGAGATATTTGTGAATACAACTGCTACTAACTGGCATGACAATTTTTAAGTATTTTTTACATGGCACCTCAGTTAGTAGTACTAAAAAGTGACGACCTTTTGCATCATTATTCTTCTACCTAGATTTGTGAATTGAAAGTTTTTTTTTCTTTATATATATATATATATATATTATATGTATATATATAACTAGATGCAATGTGCATGCTGTATATATTACCTTTTTTAATGAGCAGCGATCCTTAAACAAGATTTATTTGATTCCTGCTTGGAGAACATGATTTTACTTCTTTTGATTCAAATTATGGGTTAATGAAACTAGCTATTGGAGAAAACCTCAAGAAAGACAGGATGTTATTATGAGATTAATGTATGGATTTTAGTTTCATTCAGAACCAACATTAACGCAATGAGTTTATCATTTTCTTTGTTGGCTGCAATGAGCTTATCATTTTCTTTGTTGGCTGCAATGAGTTTAGCATTCTCCTATCAATACGTCATACTTGTGCAATGCAATACCAATTTTGGGGAGCACTTCTATTCATCAAGATGGATTAAGAGCTCATTTAGTTCGCTGATTCGAGTTGATATGTAATTTTATGTGAGAGTTTTTTACTGTAATAAAAAAGTTAGATGTGACTGTTTCTGAGAGCTTTTTAACATAGCAAAACTCGAATTCTAAACTCGAATCCGTGAAATAAACGGGGCCTAAAACTCCACAACTCAGGCTTAGTTTAGTATTACTTTTTCCTCCCAAAATCAGCACTGATTTTAGTGTTCGGTAAATCTCCTTAAAAGTGCTTTTTGAAGAATTTTTTAAGAATTTACAGCCAAAATTAGAAGCAGCCTAAAGACAACTTTAGTTTTTAGATTGTGCGGGAATCAGTATAATACAATTAATGAAACTTTTATAATACTAATAATACCCCTAATGAAATTTAAAATTTACAATCTTTCCAAGTTAAAATTGACTCGTAATATAATATAATATAATATAATAGTTATATTGTAACAAATAATATCATAATTATATTAATCACTCTAATATTATTATTTTAACATATAATATGATATTATAATAATATTATAATTATTTTAATAATATGATAAGGTCTGAAATTTTCTCAGTCATTACAAATATAATATAATCTTATAATTCTAATATTATAATATTATATATTATAGTGTATATTATATAATATATTTGTTTAATATAACTGAAATATCTTATGTAATATTATAATATGTTTTATAATATTGTCATTATATTAACCATTTTAATAATATTATTATATTCTATATCATATAATATGTTATTTAATAATAGTTTAATTTTATTATATTAAATATAATATTAAATATACATTATATTATAATTATATATATTATATTATAGTATAATATAATATAATCATTATTTTTAATTATTTCAATTAATATTTTAATATTATTATTATATTCTATATCATAATTATTAACACATTATATAATAAGAGTTTTTTTATTATATTAAATATAATAATAAATATATATTATATTGTAATTATATATATTATATTATAGTATAATATAGTCGTAATTTTTAACTATCCACAGTAATTTAATTTCATAATTTACCAAACGCTATTATATTGATTTTGAAATTGGTACAGTTACTATAATTATAGTTTATCAAATACTCAACTGTTTTTTGTAACAGTTACTTCTTTTTTCAGCACAACTAAAAATAAGTTTTTCAAAACCAACACTACCAAACTAAATCTAAGTCTCATTAAGAAAAATATTTTTTTCAAAATCTACAACACTATCAAACTAATCTAAGTCTCGTTAAGTGAATAGGTGAGATCCAACAAAATGAAACCATCTATTTTGTGAGTATGAGTTTTATCTTATCTGATAAATGTCATTTTTGAATTTTGGGCAAGTGAAATTTGGACGGTTGGCAATTCTTTTTCTACTTTTCTTACAAAAGCAGGCAATAAAGAAGGTAGGAAAGAATTATGGGTCGTTGGTTTGCTTTTTTTTTGATGATTCAATTGGCGACTTTTTCTCCGAACAAAAAAGTAGGTACATTGCCGGTTGCCCTGCCACAGTGGGGGTATCAAGCCGTTAGATTAAATTAAAACTATATTAAAATAAAATATAAATTTAATGAAAATTTAATAATAAAAAAACTTGATGATAAAAAAAAGTAGTTTAGTGTCAATAAAGTTTCTTTTGGTATTTTATGTAATAGTTCTACTACTTGCAAAGGGTGTTGCCAATGAAGTACTACTATGCATGATTAATGATCACTAGAGACGCATCACAATGATAAAAGATTTCTATCACGTGGCAAAGTAAAAGAACTTGTAATAATTTTGATGATATTTTTGTTTTTGAAAGTATTTTGAGGATATTTGATACTTTTGTCTTATGAAGTTTTAGGAAATCATAAGTTATTTACACTTTTAAATTCAAAAAAAAAAGTATTTCTTGCTTTTAATAAAAGTATAGAGTCTCTCAAATCGACGTTGTCATATTTATAGTAATTGTATCACTTATAATAAATGATTAAGATTTTTATTCTAGGAAACATGTGGTGAATTAAAACACTTGGCTGTGCCAATCATTTCATAATCACGTGTGAGACGAAATCTTAATTCTCAACTATGATAGTTCTGTCTTATGAATTTTTAAGAAATCAATAAGTTATTATTTACACTTTTAAATTTGAGAAAAAGTATTTCTTACGTTTAATAAAAGTATAGAGTCTCTCAAATCAACGTTGTCACATTTGTAGTAATTGTATCACTTATAATAGATGATTAAGATTTTTATGCTAGAAAACATGTGGTGAATTAATGGTTCATTTAGTTCGTTGATTCGAGTTTTTAATTCGAGTTGAGATATGACTTTATGTGAGAGCTTTTTATTGTAGTAAAAAGTTAGATGTAACTATTTATGAGAATTTTTTACTGTAGCAAAACTCGAATCGTTGAAATGAACGGGACCTAAAACACTTGGCTACCTCTGTGCCAATCATTTTATAATCACGTGTGAGACGAAATCTTAATTCTCAACTATGATAGTTCAATCTTAATTCTCAACTATGATAGTTCTGGTTGAGATCTCATGTCTAAGTGTGTTGGAAGCTGGAAGAGGCACTAAAACACAAGAATGTGTCAATTTTTTGTGGGGCCTATTACAAAGAGACTTAAAAATAAACAACACAAGAATCTAATACTATAATTTGTCCTACATACAACAACAACAACAACAACAACAAAAAAAAAAAAAAAGCAAGTGGACAATGTTCTTTGCCTCTTAGCATTCCAGCCCCTAATAGAGTAAAAGGCAAACACAAATAAAAGAAATCCCCCCAAAAGTTCAACCATCAAGCTTTCTTTTCCATATTTTTTTTTCCTACCCCACTTTGGTTCTCTCAAATGTCATTTGCATGCTTTGTTGACATGGTCAATTGGCCTAGCTTGGAGAGAAAAGAAGAGAAAAGGAGAGAAAATTTTCAATATTCCTATATTAATTTAAATAAAAATACAACATCCAAGCCATCATGAAAATTCAAGGTATGATTAGAATCTTGGGAGATTACCCCACAATGAGAGAGAGAGAGAGATTTTATTATCATTTGTTGTCTTTTTTTTTTATTAGCATGGAACTACACAACATACAAGTGTACTTATATTATGTATTATATATAAAAATATAAAAATAAAAATGTGGATGATTAAGATCTAAGATTTTAGGGCTTCCCCACATTGTGTAGACTCTAATAATTGGTCCACTTCCCAGCTTTGTCTGGGTGCAACCTTGTCATGTACAGGTGCATACTCCTGCAATATTAATTCATTTCAATAAAAGCATATATACAAATCAATAGAAACAATATACAACTCATAACATTCCCTCACATTTCCCTTCAAATTTCTTTGGCCACCCTCCTCAATAATTCAGCAACAAGCCTAATAATTTTCTATTCTCAAGAGAAGAAGATACTATAATACATATATACATTACACATATATATAATATATATATATATGTATCATATGTATATAATTTGGCTATAGTACTCACAGGATTGACATTCACACACACATTCATATAATATACAATACATATATTGTGTATTTGTTTTACCTCCATCTTTCTGATAAGATCTTCTGGTGTATTTGCTATAACCACAATATGCCTTGCAGAATGGTCTATGAAGCCTTCATCAACTCCTTTATCAAACAAGGCAAGTAAGCTGTTGTAGTATCCATCTACATTCAACAATCCCACCTGTTTAAAATAAAATAAAGCAAAAGTCAGGAACACATATATACATTTATATATGTATATATGTATATGTATATGTATATGTATATGTATATATGTATGTATGTATATCCATCTTACTGGTTTTTCATGAATTCCTAGCTGAGACCATGTTATCATCTCCAACAATTCTTCCATAGTTCCATAACCACCTAAAAAGATTGTGATTTTAATCCAAAGATACATAAAACAAATCAAGAAAAGTTGAATAAAATGTAAAGAAAAAGAAAAAAGAAAAGGGAAAGATGTTTCTTAGAGACCAGGAAGAGCAATGAATGCATCAGCATGTTTTTCCATTTCTGATTTTCTTTGGTGCATATCTGCAACTGTTTTCACTTCTCCAATGGTCTCTCCTGAAATCTGCTTAGTAATCACATTTCTCATCAGTGTTTTTTTTTTTTTTTTTTTTTAACATAACAACAAATTTCATGTAATTATACTAATATACAACAGTGGACAAAGCAGTACCTCATGAGGCAAAAGAGCTTTTGGAATGACTCTACATATAATTATGCAAACAAAGAAAACAAAATCAATCTATACATAAAACTTGTTAAGAAAACAAATAGAAAATGAAAAGAAACAAAAGATCAAAAAAATTGGTCTACCCAAGAACATGGCAGCCTCCATCAAACACAGTCCTAGACACCAAGCCCATTAGGCCTATACTCCCTCCACCATAAACCAAATCAATCTTTCTCTCAACCTGACAAATCAAAGAAAAGAAAAAGCAAAAATATATAGACACATGTCATAATATATATATATGTGTGTGTGTGTGTGTGTGTGTGTGTGTGTGTGACGATGGTGATGATGAGAGAAAATACTAATTACCAGCTGTTTACCAAGCTCAAGAGCAGCATCACTGAATGCAGACTTATATCCAGCTCTGCTTCCACAGAAGACACATATTCTTTTGAATTTTCCCTTCTTTTCATTTGTGGAGGATTCTTCTACTTCTCCCTCCATTTTAATCCCAAGAAGATTATGTGAAAAAAAAAAAAAAAAAAAAAAAGAGCTAGGAGAAAAGCAAGAGCCAATAGAGATAGAGAGATAAGTAAAAAATGCTGAAAGACAGATAGATAGATACAATACAAGAGATGCTAGACTTAAGGAAATCTGTGTTTGAAGGATGCAGAAGTCACCCTTTACTTCTTAGCACAAACTTTATCCCGAAGACCTTTTGTCTGCTTAAACAAGTACTTGTTGTTGGAGAAGACCCCAGCAAACAATACCCCATTTTTCTCTCTCTCTCTCTCTCTCTCTCTATCTCCTCTTTTTACCATCTTCTCTCTCTCTCTCCTCAACTCATTGCCTTTTCTTCTCTCTCTCTCTTTCTCTTGTTAACTATTCATGAGCTTTTGTTTAATTATGGAGACTATTCATACTCATTGTCTTTCCTTTTGTGTCCATATGATTCTGACCTTTACTTGCTTTTATCGTTTTGTACCCCTTCATACTGTAATTATTTTAGTGGTTCTTATTCCTGAATGGGCCTTCAATAAAAGACCCATAACAAAAAGTTGGTACTTCATCTTCCTCACAATTGCTATTACATTACATTCATTGCCCATATCAAACCCAATTAGTCTCCCAAAACCAAACCGGTTTAGATTCAACCATCACAATCTAACCAGCACCACTTTTATTATCGGTAATGCAATCACACACAAAATGTCAGCACATCAAAACTGTCACGTAACAATATAAGAATCAATAATCTAATTTTTCGTCACGTAACAATTTTATTTTAGTATCACATGTGTGGTGTGGTGGTGCATCATTAATAATGACAAATAACGATATCACTATTGATAATCGATCACATATAAAACCGCAATATAAGAGTGTACAACCTAATAATTTGACCTTTTTTTTGTTATGTGACGGTTTTTATTCTATTATCACATGTGTTGTGACACGTCATCAATATTGAGAAATACGCATGCTAATTTAATTTAATTATAGAGAACAGAGTATTATTGAAGCAATGAGAGATGAAGAGAGTCATGAAAATATTATTGCCCTTTTCACATGCGTAGATGTCATGGCCATAAGTCCCCATCAAAAGGTTCTCGTACTTGTATCCGGGTACTTCCCATATATTACCAAACCTTCTCTCCAAACTTAATTCTGGACCATACATTTTTTTGTTGTGCTGCCCAATTATGCAACTTTTACAATCTGTCAGTCGAATGCAAAAGTACAATTTCCAGTTTATAAAGGAATCCTCTCAAAAGGGGCCCCAAAAAAAAAACCCCCCCTCGGTTTTGTACAGTTTCATACTGTCTAGTCTTTATCAAGTTTCACTTAAATTTGTATATCTTCTCGACTTTAATACAGTTAGAATGTGATTTTACAGTTTATGACTCTGCAATAATTGTAATGTATTTTTAACACCTTACTACAAAATTCTCCAAATTAAAAAATAAATTAAAGTAATCCAATTTACTATATAGGTCACCCTTTAAAGTTTGAAGCCTAGTTGGCCAGCTTGCTTATAAATAATAATCTATATATACGATTTCTTCAATTTTAAATTTCAAGTCAAAAGTTTTGATGTTTTTCTTTTCCTGTTTTTAAATTTTTTTTCAGATTGCAATCTCTTTCTTTTCTCCAAATATTGCATCTTGGTCTTCTGCATATACCAAAAAAAAAAAAAAAAAAAAAAAAAAAAAAAAAAAAACCCAAACCCTTTAAAAAAATACCTTTACAAATCATTACCCACCACCACGTTGTTATATTCTTTACTATGATCCCGTTTATTTCACCGATTCGAGTTTTGTTTCAGTAAAAAACTCTAATAAACAATCACATTTAATTTTTTTACTACAGTAAAAAACTCTCACATAACGTCACATTTTAACTCGAATTAAAAACTCTAATCAGCGAACTAAACGGGTCTTATATATATTCTCTAAAGCATTGAACTCAACAAAGTTCTTGCACAGCAAAAAACTAAAAAATATTCATAGTCATTGGATAGCTAGTTTGTGAAGCTGAAAAATTATAGGTTCAACCAAGAACAAAATTCTCTCAAAAGATAAGGCATTCCTTGTTTTTGCATCAATTATAAATTTTTATAAGTACGTTATGTACATCTTCTCCAGCCCCACACCCATTGGAGCATCCTTGGGAACGAGGATGTTTGGAGGGATTCGTTCCCTGATTCGAATCATGATTCGTAGTTCGTTACAGTATTTTCTCTCACAAAAAATTCACGTAAATCGAAAATGATTCGAATCACATAGTTTGAATCTTCCAACCAAACGTCCTTTTCTCAAAAGTTTTTGGCGCTATTGGTCATTTCATCCTAAACTTTTTTGTTTTTGGTCAATTAATCTCTTAATTTAATTTTTTACTACAGATTTTTGTAACTTAATGGAAGCAGTCTCGTGTTCATCGCGTAATAACATGAAATTTAACCGAAAATAAAAAAGGAAAGCAAGGTGTAAAATCATCTAATTTTCAGGGATTTTCAAGAGTAGTGCAGATAACACTTTTCTGCAATGTGACTTGTTTCTGTAAAGTTTTAAGTTATTATATAATAGGACTCAGTTACAAACTTTTTAAGGGAAATGCCAATTGGCCCCTCAAATACTTAAACTAGGAATATGAATTTTTGACTTGAAAATTTCAACCTGAGCCAGGTAGTCTACGAATAGAGTTAATTATATATATATGTCTATTTTATAAGGGATGACAAAAGAAATGTCTACAAGTTGTTATATTTGTATATAAGTCTGTAAAATAATAGTTAACTTCCTTTTAAAATTAATTATATAAATTCACAACCACTCAGATAAAAGAAAAGGGCATATTTGAAATTATATTATAAAATGGACAGATTGTTGAATTAAAAACACATCATAAACATGAGGGGGGTAAAAATCACCATTTCGTGTAAATACTTCGAATTAACTCAATAATTTACATACTAATTCTCAAGTGTCACTTTCCCCACCGTTTTGTACGTGCACTTATGTGGACTATGATCAAGCCCATTTATCTATTGGGTTACGGGATGTAAGCTTCTCCCACAATAGAGGCCCAATTCCAAACACGCAGGATTTGATTCGATTGAAATAGTAGGATTTTATTCGATTAATAAAATAAAATAAAATAAACAACACAACAACCACAACCACAACGATAATAACCACCTTACTGGTGTGGTTTTGAAACGTTATGAGAAAATTTATTAGTTTAACGAAATTTGTTGAGATCTAAATATCTAGAATTACCTGATATTAATAGGGATGATTCTCCAAATAAAAATTAACAACACTACCGAACGTGTATTAAAAGGAATCCCGTAATTTTATTCATAATTTGTCATAGTTTGGTCTACATGGTATCATCTGGCCAAAAACATAAATTGACATGAACCAATAACTAATGGCATGTTTACCTACGCATGATCCAAATGAGCATGAATCGGAGTGAGCAGGATTCGGAGTGGGTAGGATTCAGAGTGAGGAATCGGAGTCAGAATAAGCTGTTTACTTAGTGATAGGATTCAGAATCGGAGTCATTCCAAATATCATTTATACGTTTACTTACACCCAGAATCGAAATAAAAAAATGTAAAAGTACTAATATACCCTTTAAATCAATTTAATATTTTCAATTTAAAAAATATATTGTGTACTTATTTTATTAAAATTAATCATAATTAAAATATTTAGTGTAATAATGGGGTACTAAAATAATAAATATAAATTGTACAACTATTTAAAATATAAAAATAAATTTTAAAAAAAATTAAATAAAATAAATAAAAATAAAATATAGTGTTAAAAAATAAAATATATTATTAATTTATTAAAAAATAAAGTACATATTTATTATATTAAAGTTAACAATAATTATGCTAATATTATAATATTAGGCAAATAAAATAATAAATATATGCTGCATTTATTATTTCTTGAATTTTATTTTTAATTGTGTATTTATAAGTAAAATAAGGGTATGATAGTAAATTAATATTAATATTAGGAATGAGAGTCTCAATCCCAAGGGGGGGTATGAGAGTGCCAATCCCATTCCTCAATCCCAAATTTGAGTGGGACTCACCAATTTCACTCCCATTCCAAGATAAAAAAGAGTAAGTAAATATAAGATTGACTCACATTCTCTACTCTCATTCTTCAATTCTGGTAAGTAAACATGCCATAAAGTTAATCCATTTCTATGATAAAGTATACCGTTTTAGGCGATATTGTTATTTACACGTCTTGACTAAAAAAAAAGAAAATATATTTGATCCAATAATCTCCTTATAATTTTCAAGTGCATTTAGGAGAAACCCTTCCTATTTTGTTCAACCAAACATTCTCACAGGAAGCTTCGATCGATTCTCCGTCGTCTTCGGGGGCGAAATCGACATTTTGCAGTGAGATTCCTTTGCATGGGAATGTCCTGCTACAGTCGAACTTCACAGCCACTTTGGAATCGCTAGTTCCTTTGATGTTGCTGTATATCACATTGCTTATCTGCACAGCTGAGCCCTGCCAATATTAATACATTAAAAAATATGATTAGTACCACTAATCATAATTAACATCATGTATATGTATGGCATTAGGTGTTTCAAAAATTATCGCGTTAATTAGAATTTTTTAAAAATATTACGGCTAATAATGAAAAGATAGATAGTTCATATTGTAAGTTGGTATAAAAAAAAAATTATAATATGAAAAGTAATAATACTATCCATGAAATTGAAATATACTGGTTAGGGGTAAAAAGGTCGGGACAAAGATATAATTTCATGATAATATGATAAACCTTTTCATGATATATTTATCTTCGTTACCTGTTCATGACATGCTTCATCCTGATCACAGTAATTTTGGTCAATGATTATGGGGTTGCTCACATTGCGCATTGATATGTTTTGGAATATGATGTTCTTTGCATACCCGGATCCCCCCTGCATATACATACATATATATATATATATATATATATATATATATATCAACGTTAATCAAATTAGGCACGTATAATGACACAATATATCATAAGATAGTATAATCTTTTTTGGTACTCTCTTGCGCTTTCATCTTGATTTGAGTGTTGCCTAAAAAGACACTTTCTTAATTTATGTTTTTAGTGATCTTTTTTTTTTTTTTCCTTCTTTTGATAACACTTGTACATCTGTGATTACACAATCATTTTCCTTATCTCATATTAGTTATTTATATTAGTATTATATATGCATGACCCATGTTGCAAAGTTCCAAACTTATTACATAAACTAAACCTACCTAAATATTCTCTAACTTTTATGTTAAATTCGCGTATTTTGTATCTTGAAAAGACATAAGATATATACATAAACAAATATTATATATATATATATATATGTGCATAACTAACTTTTGAATATCATGTGGATAGTGATAAAGAAGTAGGAAAAAAATTGGTACGTGATTGTTGGGTGATGACTTAATGAGTTAATATTCTGTACGTCAGCAGTAAGAAGTAGGAAGTACTAGTTAACTACGCATTAAGTCAAGTATTGTTGTAACAAAATTCAAGTTTAGTCTACAATTAAGTCAAAAGGCCAGGAAGTGGTTAGTACTAATTTTCATGGGTAAGTTTGTGATCATGTGAAGTTAGGAGGGATTAGAAAAACGTCCTGATTAATTAAATCCCTTAAACAAAAAGAAAAATGTCCTAATTAATTAATAACCAGAGCTAGTCAATTCTTTTGCACATCTACTATTGATTTTTTTTTTTTTTTTGCGCAGAATTAGCAATATAATAGGCTGGAATTCAGGCAAAACTGGAGCATACTTTTTTGACCCTTGACAAGTAATTCCACCAAAAGGTTAATGTTTCAACTTTGCACTTGGTGAAAATACTGAATGACTTTTTTTTCCTATTTTTACCTAAAGTTTGAAATCTGAATACGGGTTCTATTTGATGTATTTATATATATTAAGATAGAAAATTGAATGTTTTGAAAAAAAATAATAATAATTATTGTAATTACCTGCCAAGTCTTTATTCTCACTCCATTAGTGGTTCCTGAAAATGTTGCTCTATTCACCATCACATTGGAGACCACAGCTTCTGAATTATCAGCGCCTAAGCTTCCAATGCTGCACAAATTTAGATATTACAATAATGAGCTAAAAATTATCTCTAATTGAAGCCTTTATAATCCAAACATTATTGTTTACCATCAAATGTAGAAATAAAAAAAAATTATTATATATATATATTTTTGTTTGAAAAGAAAACATATTATATATTTAGTTTATCGAACTATATATATATATATATATATATATCTTGATATATAGAAACTAAGTGATCACATACCTAATTCCATGACCAGGGCCACAAGTTATATCTGTAGCTCTAACATTCTTTGACCCGCTTACAATTGAGATACAATCATCTCCTTCAATATAAAAAAAAAAAAAAAAAAAAGGATAAACAAAAATAAGTTAAATAAAAATATACATAAGTTGTTTCCCGATTGTAGCGACTTAATTAAATAAATATACATCAAAATTATAAAATATACATATATATACATATATACACACACGTAGTACTAGCTAGCTAAAATCCAAATTAGATTATTACCCGTTCTTATAACAGAGTTCATGATCTGAATATTCTGTGATTCTGTGACGTGAATTCCGTCAGTGTTGGGGCTATTTCCTGGTGCAATCACTCGCAAATTCATAGCCTTGACGTTCACACATTTCTGAATGATCAAGTGCATTTGTTGCGCGTTTTTGAACCTCAAATTGGCCACTACCAAATTGTTGCATTCTAAAAATGTCACAGCCTATCAAAAAAAGAAAATAATACACAAATGTATATATGTATCAATATCAATAAAATTCCGTTATTAGTTTATATAATTGAGCTTAATAAAAACAAAAAAATTAGCTAGGAGCTTACAGTTGGCGCGTGCTTGCATGGCTGCGAAATAATATTGGACAGTCACCAAAAAAAGAAAAAAAAAGGAGAAAATTAGTAAAATGCATATATATATATATATATAACATTATGAATGAGTATTAATATTAAATTAGCAACATTAATGAATTAATTAATAAGTGGGGGCTTACAAGGGAGTCGTTGATTTTGCAAGAGTTTCGCCACCATTTCCTTCCATTGCCATCGATAGTGCCACCACCTTCAACCCTCAAGTTCTGCACATTCTCAAACTGAATCCAGTGCAGTCTGTCCTTCTCGTAATCTGACTGGCGCGGCGAAGCTTTGATCACGCCGGAGATCTACTTAAATCAAGATCGACAACTAATTAGTACATATGTGTTAAAAAAAAAAAGTAAATAAATCTTATTCTAAACTTACCATAAATATACACACACACATATTTGTACATATATAGAAATTTATATAACATGTTCTGACTTGTGCATGCATATCATAAATGATTAAACTCACCCTCATTGTGACATAAGATCTGCAAGGGCCTGAAAACTTGATTGGTTTAAGGTGATAAACCTTGTTCTTGGGGACCAAAACAACACCTTCTTTAGAGGAACAAGCTCTCTTCCAAGCCTTGTTAAATGCCTAAAAAAACAAAACCCAAAGCTTCATATACAATAATTCACTTAATTATACACATATATTGGACTGTATATTAATTATTATATATAAGAGTGAAAATGAGGTTTTTTTTTTTTTTTTTTTTTGTAATGTACCTGACTATCATCTCTTCCATCAGCTTTAGCTCCAAAATCATCAACATTGAATACCTGTGGTGAAGAGGAAGGAGAGCTTGCTCTACTTTGCCTTGTCATAAGTCCATTATAATGACTCTTATGATTACCATATTGGCCATGGAGATTATAAGCTTGATTATGAGGAGAGAGAGAAAATGGACCCATATGGTTTCTTGAGAGAGAGAAGGAAAAAGAAGCAAAGATTATGACAAGAACTAGTAATGGGGTTTTTGGAGACATCTTTTGTCTTTCTTTGATGATCATAAAGTTGTCCTTTGGAGAATGTTGAGAGAGGAAATATATTGGAAACAATGACTAGTGAATATGCTTTGACATGAAGAGACAATATGGCTTCTTGTGTATTTATAGATGGGGAATTACAATATACGGTGTTGGAGTTTCTCTTTCATTTCCCCTAATTTTCTCTTTTCATCTTTTTCTTTTTTTTTCTTTTTTTTTTTTTTGCGTCTTTCAAAATATGACTCAAAAAGAGTTATGGGACTAAAAATTAAAGAGATTGAGACGGAAGAATTACTTGGCCGGTAGCCAACTTTGGTCTCTCTCACACACAATTAATAATTTTTCTATCAATCAAAAAGTGAAGGAAATGGATTTGAGTTAGTTAATGGTGGCTTGTGCTTCTTTACCAACAAACAGACATGGTATAATCATAATATTGCTAGTTTATCCCCCTATGTTTTGACATATAGGGATGACTTTCTAAAGTGCCCAAAAAACTAGAAATAACAACAATAATACATGAAAACTAGCTAGGCACGTGACTAAAAACAAAAGGGAGTATTTTTTTTTTATTCTATGTCAAGTACAAAGGCAGTCTTGTTCTTTGCGTGGCTTTGATTCCAACACATTAAAAAGTTCCAACAAAATCAAATATTTAGGATAAAATATCAAACGTTAATTATTGAATTTTGTGATAATTAGTCACGAGTGTTGGGCTTAATTTCTGTAACAGTATTTGATAGTAATCCACATATAGTTGAATTTTTAGTTGATATTCAACTCGTTTTAACGGTACAGCCTATGGCGACTTGAAAATTTGACCTCTAAAAATTGTACTCATGAAACATTTCGGCTTTGAAAGTCTCTTTGTCAAACTTAACATTATATATAGGCAATAGCACTAAGCATAATCTAATGCAAAATTGGTCAAATCCATGTAACACAAATATTAAATTGCGTTTAACTGTGTTGAAGGAAGAAGCTGCTGTTACAAAAAACAGCTGAGTGTTTGGTAAACTATAATTATAGTAGCTGTGCTGATTTTAAAATCAATGTAATAGTGTTTGGTAAATTATGAGGTTGAATTGCTGTAGATAGTTAAAAATTACGATTATATTATATTATATTATATTATATATTACAATATAATATATATCTATTATTATATTTAATATAACACAAAAAAACTAATATAAAAAACTATTATTATATAATTATGATATAGAATATAATAATATTATTAAAATAATAACTGAAATAATTGAAAATAATGATTATATTATACTATAATATAATATATATAATAACAATATAATATATATTTATTATTATATTTAATATAATACAAAAAACTATTATTATATAATATATTATATAACTATAATATGGAATATAATAATATTATTAAAATAATAAACGATTATATTATATTATACTATAAAATAATATATATAATTACAATATAATGTATTAAATATAATTATATCAATACAATATAATATATAATATATTATAAAATAATAATCACAATATCATATTATAATTATTATATCATATTATATGATAAAATAATAATAGTAGAGTTATTAATATAATTATGATATTATTTATTACAATATTACTATTATATTATATTATATTACGAGTCTCAATTTTAGATTGGAATGATTGTAAATTTTAAATTTTATTAGGGGTATTATGAGTATTATGAAAGTTTTATTAATTGTACTATGTCAATTTTCGCATAATCTAAAAGTTAAAGTTGTTTTTAAGCTGCTTCTGATTTTGGCTGTAAATTCTTAAAAAATTCTTCAAAAAATATTTTTGAAGAGATTTACCAAACACTAAAATTAGCTTTTACTACAAGCAGAAACTGATTTTGATAGGGAAAAATAATATCAAACTAAGCCATTAGTTGATGATGATATATGACTTTTCATTATTATTGGGTCAGGTCCAACCAAGTGATATGTTTCTTAATTATTCATCTTTCTTGAGCATATATATGCGGAAGTTTGTGTTAAATGATTTACGAGCATATATATGACATATTATATTACGCACAAGTACTATGAATTTGGGGTTATTCAAGTTTTGGTCAATTGGGTCTATCATACCTTGGAAAATAGTAAGTCACCCATGTTGTGAAATTGCACAAGGCAATTAGATTAGTTAAGAATACACTATTTTCCGGACTAAACGCGATTCCTGAATTTTCCGTAGTCAAAAATTATGATATTGGTTTGAAACCCACTTGCAAGACATTTTTCTTTATGTGATTCCTTTAATGGTGGAGAAGCACGTTGTGTTCTCATCTCTCTTTGCCAAACTGCCTCCTATTTTGTATATACTTCTTTATATTATAAATATTATTGGAGAATTCGATGGTAGGTTTCAAAAAATACTCTACATTTGATACCACGTGATTTTGAACCATTAGATTTCATCAAATTTAGTTAAATTTACATAATTTATTTAAATTTTGTATTATCTAATGATTCAAAGACGGGAAATATGCCACTACTAATTGACATTTTTTTTATATCATACTACACAATTTTCCTATATTTATATACACTTCATTTTTTTGATGTTTACCTTTTGTTGTATATATTGAAAGAACAAATTTCTTATTCTTATTACAGTTTTCTCCCCTTTACGGCAGCATTAATATCTACAAGTTTAATAAAATCACTACACTAATATTTCTTTTTCAACAAAATACAAAGAGTGGATGACTAATTGGTTTTGGGGTTGACAAACTATGTCATGTGTCACTTTCGGGTTGGCAATTCGCCAAATAAAAAATGAATTTCATTTCACCCTCTCGGTTTTGTTAGTTGCATGATGTCAAAGGGCAAAGATTATTATATATAACAAAGAAGAGCCGCAAGAGAACATATATGTTTCATGTTTTTTTTGTAAAAGTAAAAAGGTTAGGGAAGTTAGCACCAATTTAGGTGAAGTAGGCAATGGGTAAGAAAAAAGAGAATTGGTGAGGTTGAGGTAAGAGATAGATTGGGATTTTTGCGTGTGTAAAAATATGTTTTTTGGGGTGAAGAAATTAACACAAGTAATTATGGCTGTAACACAAAAGACTTGCCGTGGTGTGTTTGGGAAACAAATTAGGAATTGCTAAGGTATGGGCAGGAATAATCATGGTGTGTTTTGGAAAGTCGAGTTGATATATGTATGTATATATATGCATCAGTTATTGATGGTTATGTTTCTATAGTCGTTAATAATTTAAAATTTTAATGATGTGACATGATAAGAATTTAATTTTATTAATTGTCATAATTATCTGATCAATATTTTACGATTAAAATAACGATACATGTCGATGAATAAATATCGAAGTAACTATTAAATAAGATCCATATATATATATATATATTAAATAAATATCGAAGTAACTATTAAATAAGATCCATATTACATATATATATATATTGTGACTAGAGTTTGTTGCCACTTTAACAAGGCTTTTAATTTGGTAATTCTTGTGACATAATCCCTAAGCCAAAACTTTTACTTCACCATTTCATTATTTTTTTTATAGGCCTAAATTTTATATGTGACTAGTAAATTAGCAATTAGGTTTACTTTCTATGGACTGAAGGCAATTTTTTGGTGCATATTTCCAAGTGAGGCTGTCCATATTCAATGATTAAAGATCCGCTTTGCTTTATGGTAAAGGAAAACGGTTATACATTTCCAAAATTTACTTTTATGGCAGTTTAAAATGCAAAAGCCGACACCATACTTTTCAAGCACCCAGAAAAGGAAATACTATACTTTTGACCACATTTATATGTGTTTAGTCTTTTCTGATAGATTAAGACTTTTTTTATTATTGTTATTAAGGATGTGATTGGATAGAGATTAGAGTCTTTCAAGTTGATATATTAACTAATTTTACATAGCCCACCTGTATTTGATACATTACTTGAAAACTAGGAATAGCAAAGAGAGCCAAAACTTGCCATGGCTTCTCATGTTCACTAAATTCAATTGTCATATTGCTATAATCCTATAATTATCTATTGATCTTTGAAATAATTACTGGTTAAGTAACTTTTTTTTTTTTTTTTTGCTTATGTTTCCATTATGATCATCTAAACCAATTTCCCGTTAAGCTCGATTCTTGGCAGCCTTGTAATCAGCTGGAGATAAAATAAATAAATAAATGAAATGGAGGCCAATTCATGCCTTAGAGCCAATAAAATTGAGGATTAACAACCTAATAGGGGATTAGGCTTGTTTGGCGTTTCTTTAGTTCTAGATTAACATCTATGAACTTATAACAATAAAAGTCTTTTCTCTCTTCTGTTTTTGAAAGAAATGCTGTACATAAAGTGTGGCTATAATCATCTAACTTTTAAGGACTTCCACGGTTAAAAACATAATAATGTGTGATTAATTATGAGACCAACAAGGATACTCATGGTAAGATATTTTAGTACTTCTGGCATAATAAAACAAGTCCAACAACTCAAACCAGAAAGGGCCTAGTAGCTGTAGTACTTGCCTCTTACACGGGCCAAGTTACCAGCCCATTCAGTTAAGGGACTGGAACAGGCCCACAAAAAAGGATCCCAATCATCAATAAACATGTTCAAAAATAGAAAAAAAAAATATATATATATATATATATCATTTACAAATAATATGATTATAATGATTTATCACGTAATTTCATAGCATAAAACACGAATATCGTTACAATAATTATTAATAATTTTGTTATTTCTAAAAATGAAAAAGAGCTTAAATTTCATTTGAATGGACAAACTTAAAAAAAACAAAAAAACAAAAAAAAACTGTCAATCCCATATACAAGTCAAATTTTTATCAAAATCAAATTTAGTTAAATTTGCATACGTTTTTAGTTTTAAGACGATGGACAAACTACTGACGAAAGTTTTTTTTTTTGTTTTTTTTGTTTTTGAAATGCTGACAAAAGTTTTTTTGTACCATGCAAACTTTTAGATGAAAAAAATAACTCCCAATTTGTCAACCTCATCCCTGTTTTGCTTTGAGAGCCACAAAATGTTAGAGCCTAAAGAGCTAATAATATCTTCTAGATAGAGATGGTGATAGCTTTTGATATTTTCAAGCGATTTGCCTAGTACATGCGACCACAAATAAAAATAAAAATATTTTTAATCTCAGACAGAAATTATTTTTAAAAATGTGTTTAGTAATTTTATCAAGAGATTATTTTTAGTATAAAAAACTCATTAATGTTTCTCTTTTTTTGCTTGAGAGAAGAGAAAACGAAAACAAAAAATAAAAAAACTACTAAAAGTCATTTTTCATTTATCTTTCATTTTACACTAAATCAAAAAATTATTTTTATTTTTATTGCGTCAAATATCGTTTTGGAAACATTTTTATTTTTTCTCAAAAAATATAAAAAATAAAATGGGATTAATTCTAAACACAGTTTAAAGAATTCACCCACGTAAAAGGAAAAAAAAAATAAAAAGGCATAAAAATCGAGAATATGCATGTAGGTCAGTTGATACCTGCCTAGTTATTCTCTTTTTATATAGTTATAGGAAGTTGGATTCTTTTCCTTGCAAACCAAGAAGATATTGTTGTTTGGTTTAGGTGATGGTTGCGACTGAGTATGAGTTTTGTGATTTTAGATGAGTTTTGTAGATGTTTGTAGTATGGTGATGGTTTTTTTTATTCCACAAATTAATTTGGTAATAATTTGAAGGATTAATATTTTTGGATTTTTAATTTGATTTATTATTGTTTTTAATTTGTTGAAAAACTAAAATAATTTGACAAATTATGCAACATAATCTGCTAGGTTATGAAGCATGATTTATGTTGCATAATCTGACAGATTATGATCAATGCCGGTGATCAGAGACTGGGGCCGGCTGTTAATAAATCTAACATATTATGAATCATAATCTATCAAACTATGAATCAGACTAGCATCGGTGGCCCATAATAATGTGACGGATTATGGTTGCCGGCACCTACAACTAAAGACTCGCCGCCAGCAGTGACAGGAGCCGGTGACCGGAGATTGTCTTCTGGTGGTGTGACTTTGGTAATAAATATGGGGGTAATTTTGGAAATAGATATGTTGAGCTTAGGACTTGTTCTAGTCTAAAGAGACAAAAATTAAAGGGTTAATGTTGGGACCCAAATATCTTTAGTAGTATCATTTTAAGGAGTATTTGTCAAAATTACTCTATAAAAAATAAAAATAACATAAGAGGGAGGGAACATAATGAAATCTAATATTTCCTAAACAAAAATAGAGTTAAGAAACATTTTACATTAGCCGACATAAGCATGATTTCTTAAACAAACTTATAAAGATATGCATATAGGAATTGCATGTTTTCAACATGTTTAGTTATTTCAAAATTACATTTTCAGAAAAAAAAAAAAAAAGTAATTTCAGAATTACATCTAAAATTTAAAGGGTGTGTCTATGGTACGGTGAGCCAAATAATCTTACCGGTATTGTACAATCGAACGACCCATATTAAATCTCAGTGAGGGTCTACGTGTTGCCTTCCGCTTCAGATTGTAACCCAAAAATAATAAAAATAAATACAAAAACAACCCTTATTTTTATCAAATATTACTTTTTGCCCCATGTTTTATATAATAACAAAAGTACCCTTCATTTTATACATTTTTCATAAAACAAATCTTACATTTCTTTTAAAAAAAAAATGTCTCTTGAGAAGAACAATTCTTTTTTTTTTTTGGATTATTTTTTAAATAAATAGATATGAGAAAAATTATTATTATTATTATTTTTTTACAGATTATCACAATAATTATAATCACAAAATTAAACCTATTTTATTACATATATTACCTTTGTAAAAAAAAAAAACAACCAATTACACATTATTTCACATATATGACCTTTGAATAATTAATTTCCAAAACAACATAATTTTATCCAAAACCAAACACCATCTCCAACAGATCAGCCAAAAAAACACCATCTCCAATATCTAATCAAACTAACTAATTTTAGTAAACAAGCCACAGAAAATTTGATTTTCTCAAAATTTCACAAATTAATTTTCAAACACAAAGGAGGCAAAACCCAGATTCCGGCGAGGCTGCGAGGCAAAACCCAGAATCCGGCGACGTAAAACCCAGATTCCGGCTTGAAAATCATCTTGTTCATTGTCAAACAATTCACAACCTCGCTTGAAAATTATCTTGTTCATTGTCAATTCTTTAAACAAACACAAATTTCAGTAATCCTAAAAAATAAAAATGCAAACTTTTTCAGCAAATCCTGTTCGTTCTCTTCGTTCTCTATCACCGTTTTTTCCCTCTCCTTTCCCTGCAAATCAAATAGAAAAAAAACAGGCCAAAAATCAAAACGAGGAATTGAAGTTGCTTGAGTGGGCAGCGGCGTTCTTAACAGGTGATGGGTCGCGACAGTACGACGAGCAAGATGACAGTGAGGGCGCGGGGAGGAGGACGACGACGACGAGGGGAAGGGGGAGGACGACGGAGGCGCGGGGAGGACTAAGATCAAGAGCTAAGATCAAAAGCTTTAACTAAATTGATGGCTGATATTTATCATTTATGTATATATAATTGTTATTTTATAAAATATAAGGGGTGATAATATAAATTCTTAAATTTGAGAAAAAGAGACTAATCAAATGTGGGCGTATGTATTTTAATTTTTATGGACAACACAATCTTAAACCGTTAATTTTTATTTAATGGTGTAGATTTTGGACTCTATCCGTAGGAAACAAGATAGTCACATTACTATATACATTCCTAAATTCAAATTATAATTCAATGAATTTTTGTAAAAGTAAATAAACTAAATCAAGTTTAATAAACATTTGAGAATTAGGATATGTTCATTTCATGACTCAAGTGATATTGCTACAATATTTTCTCTTACAAAAATTTAAATTCAATTTTTTTATTATAATATTTTTCTCTCACATACACAACTTAAGTCATAACTTTTTTTAAAAGAACAAATTGCATTTGATTAAAATACTAATAAACAGTTGTCTTGGTACAATGTTAATCCATTAGAAGGACAAACGCGCTCCTGAGGCCCGAAACCAGGTAAGCACATCGACATACTTACAACAAGCGGAATGAAAGCTTGACTGGAGAAAACCATCTCTCTTCAACATAAACTGTCGAGTGCTGGAAGGGTAGATCGTCAAAAAATCCACAAGAAGGGGACATCTACAAGACATATACAAAATTCTAATAGGACCAAGAGCACCCTATTGGCATTATGCCGAACACCTAAATCTAACAAAAAATAACAAACCAGATGAAAGTCGAGTGGAGAAACCACAAACTTTATTACAAATATAAAAGTTACAAAAAGACAAAAACCTCCGACCACTGTTGATAGAAACCTTTAGTAAAGGGCGTCCGACTAAAAGACCATCGAGGAAGACATCCAACGAAAAGCTTTCAGCCACCAAGTGGAAAATTCTTATGAGAAAGGAGATCGTCCAGTCGTCTTTTAAGCTTTTAACTTATTCAGATATGTCTAAACAGAGCCACCACACCATATGCCACTATGACCAACGAGAAGCGCATGGCGTAATGAGTCGGAGGATCAAATTTCACGCTCGGGAATCCGACGACGTGCCTGGAGACGGTGTCGAAGCTCTGGCCAATTTCTACTCTCTAAAAACTTTCTCACTCTCTCTCTAATTCTCTCTCTTAACCAATCAATAACTCAAGTCATACAAACAACAAGCTCTTAGAGTTATATTCTGTAACTTATTGTATAAATTTTTTCATATAAATTTAAATTTAAGGCTGTATAGAAGTGACGGTAAGTTTCTATATTATCCCATGAAAGAATTTTCCTCCGTAATTATTCAAACGAATTGACCTAAAAGACTAGACCAAATACACACGCCAAAGTGACGCATGCAAGCAGACAAAACCTCCATAATCCCGCAATACACAGAATCTTATAAAGAATGAAATCAAATTAAATATATCTACGTTAATATCAAGACATTCTTCTTGTAAACACAATAAATAATATTATAATCCCTTAAAAAATAAACACTATACAATATTTTGACTCATATTTTCATTTGATTTTTCGACCACGAGCAAATGCAAACGTGGATGAATCCCGCCAACAGAGACCACCAATCACGTACAAGTTACAACCACGGACCACCCAAGGAAAATACGTACTTATTGGGAAATTGTGTGGTGGAGAACTAAAAAAGAAAACTTCACTCTTTAAAAAAAAAAGGAAAAAAAAAAGAAAACTTCTACCAAAAAACTAAAAAAAATAAAAATACTTTATAAATATTATTTAATTTTAGACTTTCAAACTATAATAAATAACATTATATTTTTAAAAATAATTATTTAAAATTATGTTAACACGGTATTCTAAAAAAAAATAATTATATAGAAATATTTTTAAAAAATACTCCATTTTAGGAAATTAAATTACTACTATATAATATTTTACACGGTTTTTGAATCATCTGTTTTTGCTAGTCAGTTTTTGAATCATCGTTGATCCGTCAAATTTTGCTGAATTTTCACATAGCACCACGTATATTTTTCTAAGCCCTATAAAATTAAATTAAAAGAATTTGTCCATACAAATATAATATTATATTTATATATATGTTTTTTTCCCTAAAATAAACGTTACGTGACACAAGAAACAGAACACACGTGAAGTGGGAGAGAGATAACCAACCACTAACAGACCAGAGCAGAGGAGAGCAAATCCATGGCGGAAGTGGCGTCGGAGAAGCCGAGCTCCGGCGAAGAAATTGTGACGGTGAATCCTAAGCCGAACAAAGGCCTTACTTCCAAGCTCATCGACTTGTTCGAGAAGCTCGTCGTCAAGCTCGGCTACGACTCTTCCCAGATTCATCACTATCTCTCCGGTAACTTCGCTCCAGTTCCCGACGAAACTCCCCCCACCGTCGACCTCCCCGTCTCCGGTTATCTTCCGGTCAGTCATTTCTTTCATTTTCAAACTGAAATTAGCAAAATATCAGATTTTTATTTTTGTTTTGATTTTTGTATTTTCAAGTTCTTTTCTTCCCTCTTTTTTATGTGATCATTTTGTGATATGAATTTTTGAATCATTGATACTACTGTGAAATCTGATCTTTACTTTGGAGTTTTCTTTGTCAGATGAAATTGCAATTTTTAGCTTTTTGAATGGTAAACTGTTTGCAAAGCAGGCTCTTTTAGTTATTAGACTAATGATAGTGATTACTAACTTTAATCACTCCATAAGCAAGTTTAGCTATCTGGGATTCTATTTTTTTCCTTGAGCTTTTCTATTAATATTTAAGCTGTAACAGGAATGCTTAAATGGAGAGTTTGTTCGGGTGGGTCCTAATCCAAAGTTCTCTCCGGTGGCTGGCTATCACTGGTAAGTCTTGTCCTTTTACTAATATTTTCCTTATTTATTTATTTATTGAAAACGTAATTCTTAAGTAAAAAATAAACACTCTTTTTGAATGATTTTCTCTAATTTCAGGTTAGTTTTGTTTAACTATTTTTACTCTCTTCTCATTTGGCAACGGCCTTTTGCTAATCTTCTTGGTTGGTCTCTTATGCAGGTTTGATGGAGACGGGTGTGTGATCTTCTATTCCCGCATCCGCTTACTCGCATTTCTCAACATAATTTTAATTTAAGATTTTGGAAGTTGGATAATTTTAGTTTTTTTTCCCTCTATTTATCAGTAAAAATATGTGAAATTTGCAGTATGATACATGGTCTGCGCATCAAAGATGGAAAAGCAACATATGTCTCCCGTTATGTAAGAACCTCGCGTCTTAAACAGGAAGAATACTTTGGAGGTGCTAAATTCATGAAGGTATGCCGGGAAAAACTATGTCGACTTTTATAACTTTGTGTTTCACTTCGTTTTTTTCTTTACAAGATGATAATATGTTTCCAATCCCAACTTAGGCTCATGAACTTTTGTGTGTGTGCTGTTCTCTTTTTTTTTTTTTTTTTTTTTTTTTTTTTTTGTGTAGACTTGTTTATGACCTGTTGGGAGAATATTGATCTTTCTATTTTCATGTTATGAAATGCGTATACTTCATGTGAATGTATTGATTATTTAGTGTTTCAGTGGGAGTCACCTCGTATTCTTTTGTGAGGCTCCTGAGCAAGTGACTATAGTTTATTCGTTTTTATTTTCGTTTCAGTCAGTGTGCTTTACTTATTCATTCATGAAACCTCACTGTTTTATTATGAGTTTCTCCCTTTAACGTCTCGGCTTCTTTTTCGTGGTCAATGTTTCAGAAACAAACTCACTCGTAAAATGATGACCTATTTACTGATTTAGTAATTTTCATCTATCCTTGATTCTTCTCTTGCTTTCTTCTCCTAATCTTATCGGCACATTTTAATGCGTGAATTTCAGGTTGGAGACCTTAAAGGGTTCTTTGGATTATTCATGGTTAACATGCAAATTCTGAGAGCAAAGTTCAAAGTAATAGATCTTTCACATGGACATGGAACAGGTAACCTTGTCTACTAATTCGTGTATGATCCTAAAGAGCTCTCAATCAATTCGAGAAGTGTTATCTTCTCCTTTGTTAGACTTATGTAGCATATGTATATTACACACCTCATTAGGGGTGTTTAAAGAAAAAAAAATACAAAGACCAAATCGAATCAAATCAAACTAAACAGATTGGTTGTTTGGTTAGGTCGGTTTGGAGTGACCTTTATCTATACACACACACACACACACATCACGCACATATATACACACACACTTTAGTTTCTGCATTTGTTATATACACTTGCTATTTTTTTTCCCCATCACTGCAATGTGAGTACTGTTAGGAACTAACTGTTGTTGATCACCGTCTCCAGCTAATACAGCTCTTGTCTATCACCATGGGAAACTCCTAGCACTTTCAGAGGCAGACAAACCTTGTAATATATAGCTCTTTCTTCTTTAACTTTTAAATTGCAACACTATATAATCTTCCTACTTTCTGGTGTTAAAAAGTATAACATAGTTCACCTTCACTTTCTTTGGGTTTGGTTGAATTACTGCTTATTTTTCTGTACGGATGTTAGTGGTGCTTTTCATGGTCCAGGACTGAAATTAACTTGCAAATTGCACTAAGTAGTTACCTAAGGAATTCAAAAATTTGTTCATTCTTGCTTGAATGCACGTTTGACCATGCAGATGCTCTCAAAGTCTTGGAAGATGGAGATCTGCAGACACTTGGCTTGCTTGATTATGACAAGAGATTGCAACATTCATTCACAGCTCATCCGAAGGTTGATCCATTTACTGGTGAGCATACCCTCTTAAAATAAATTTAGTTAATCCGACCTAATAAATTTGTTCTTTACTCACAAAGCTTCTAATGCAGGCGAGATGTTTACATTTGGTTACTCACATACTCCTCCATACATCACTTACAGAGTCATTTCGAAGGATGGTTTCATGCATGATCCAGTACCTATAACAGTATCGGACCCCATCATGATGCATGACTTTGCCATTACAGAGAATTATGCCATTTTCATGGATCTTCCTTTGTTCTTCAAGCCAAAGGTAAGTTAATTACTTATTCATCAATGGTATAGGATAAAGGTCTACGAAAGAAATCTTGTTTGACAAGAGAATGATAGTCAATTTGAAATTTTTCTCCGTCATTTGGGTGATTTAAACCCGGAAGGAAATTACCAGGGGCATGAAGACTTTTGAGAAAGTTCTCTGTATTTATGGATGTTAAATGCTTTCATAAAATGCATGCATAATGGTGGTATCTTGGTAAACATGATGAAGACAACAACACTTTTTTCTTTTTCTCTGAGGCTTATATCATTAGGTTTCAATTTTCAGGAAATGGTGAAGGAAAAGAAGTTGATATTCCAATTTGATCCCACCAGAAAAGCACGCTTTGGAGTGCTTCCACGGTATGCAAAGAATGAGCTTCTAATCAAATGGTTCGAGCTTCCAAATTGCTTCATATTCCATAATGGTGAGCACGTATGAAAGAAAGAAAATCCATTTTTAGCAAAGTTTGCCAGTTGTAGCTGAGCGTGTCTTGCAATTTTTGTTGTGTTCTAACCTTGTTTTATGACCGTTTTTATTAGCCAACGCATGGGAGGAGGAAGACGAGGTTGTTCTAATCACATGCCGCCTTGAGAATCCGGATTTGGACATGGTCAGTGGGAAGGTCAAAGAAAAGCTTCAGAATTTCTCAAATGAGCTGTAAGAGGATTTTTCTCCACCCTATTATTGATGTGGTATCTTCTCTGTGGTGTTTATATGCTAATATCAGAATTCATTCAGATATGAAATGAGGTTCAACTTGAAAACTGGCCTAGCATCACAGAGGAAACTCTCAGAATCAGCAGTTGATTTTCCTAGAGTGAACGAGAGCTACACTGGCAGGTGTATATAGATGTCTTTATATATTTTCAGGCTTCTTTTTATATTTTCTTGCAAGTTTTTAACATTACTGTCTTCTTTATGTTCTCCCCCTTCGTAAATTGTTGTTGTTTGTGCGGCGAAATCAGGAAACAGCGCTATGTGTATGGAACCACACTGGACAGCATTGCGAAAGTCACGGGAATTGTCAAATTTGATTTGCATGGTAAACCAGAAAGTGGTAAAACACGCATTGAGGTTGGTGGAAATGTTCAAGGTCTGTATGAACTGGGACCCGGCCGATTTGGCTCCGAGGCTATATTTGTCCCCAAGGTGCCTGGAATCACTTCTGAAGAAGATGATGGCTACCTAATATTCTTTGTTCATGATGAGAATACTGGGTATTACTTCCATCTCTCACTCTATTAACATAAGTTAAGACTTACCCATTCCAATTTAGAGTACTTCAGAATGTAACTCTTGTTTTTACATTATGTGGTCAACTATAAAAAAAAAATTGTCAACAGTGTTGGGACCTAGTTCTTTTATTATGAAAATTCTCTTGTACTAATACACGCTCGGTGAGACATCATACATCACTATTGCTAATGAATAGCAAGGCTTTTAATCGTATTATAAACACATAATGACATAAAGTCAATCTGAGAATGGAATGCATTCTGAAGTTGGATCATTTCACCCATGCAGAAAATCAGCAGTGCATGTGATTGATGCAAAAACAATGTCACCAGATCCGGTTGCAGTCGTTGAGTTGCCCCATAGAGTTCCATATGGGTTCCATGCCTTCTTTGTGACTGAGGTCAGTATTACTTTAATTGATGTTCTTGGACTTTCTAATTGCTTTGTTTCTTTAAGTAAAAAGGTACTCGGACTCAAACTGAATATCTAGCAATGCAAGGTGAGATGCATAAATGTTACAAGGTTTAAGGAATGCAATGTCGACAATGGTGGGAAAATTAATTTTGAATTGTAGTTTTGATGTTCATCAAGACAAATAGCGTCAGTGGTGTTTAGTGCCACTCTTTACAATGAGCGAATCCCGCAAGTGTGGGGTCCAAGGTAAAGGTGTCGGGTGCTACTGACACCGGATAGCACTGCTTGATCAATTTATAGAGTTGAAAAAATGAAATGTCATATCCTACTAAAGAAAAACATATGGAAGATTCTATGTAGAGCTAGTTTTTGTGCCATTTGATTATATTTTTACTGTTTAATCTATGAATTTACATGTTAAACATAGTGTACCTTATGGCACAAAATTGCTCATCCTCATAAGATCAGATGGTTAAAATTCTATCAAATAGCTAAACATACTTGCTCTACTGTTGTAATGCAAGTTTGAATTAAAGGTCAGGTGCTATGGAGCCCTTTTTTTTTTTGGTACTCTTGTTTGTCGATTAGTGATTCTCACGTTTGATTTTATGGTCATTGATTAGGAGCAACTGCAAGAACAAGCAAAACTCTGAACTGCAGAAATATCTGGAGATCAAGGAAAGCTCAAACCGACATGTAATGTGAATTCGTCCTGTTACCTTGTCCATCCATGGAAGTTCTGCCAACACAATAAAGAAGATCCCACTGAAATTCTGATTACGTATAATATAATAAAGAACCCCACTCTTTGCAAGAGTGAAAGTTTAGATTATATAAAGAACACGCTCTTTGTAATATCTATTATTTATTTGCCAACTCCGGAACTTCACAACTTTGTTATCTTACCTGGTACTATTTTCCCAAGTTTGACTCCTTAGTGTGCACAGTGCGCGTGCGCAAAACACCAATAATGTAGTTAGGATTGAAAACTAATTAAAAAACGAATTTTTTTTTTATGATTTTTCAAATAAAATAAAATAAAAATAAAAAACACTGTGTACACGTCGAAAGTGGAAATTTCACATGTGAACCGTGATATCCGTACTTAACAAAAAGAAGAAAACAGCAAACGGTGGTCTTTTTGAATACAGCCATCACATGAAATAAATATGCTTCATTACACATTAAAAGGTTATTGAAATAAATCACTTTATAGCAATTGGAATTTCCACTTTCGACCTGTGCACCGTGTTTAAGAACATGTATATAAGTGTACGTTACCTTTTTGCATTGTTAATCACATAAAGAAGAATAAATAGTTAGGAGCTAAGGAGCTATGGCGGAGATAGTGGCAGTGAATCCAAAGCCGAAGAAAGGCCTGAGTTCGAAGCTCATTGACTGCTTTGAGAATGTCATCGTAAAGCTCATCTATGACACTTCTCAGTCTCACCGTTGTCTCTCCGGTAACTTTGCTCCGGTTTGCCATGAAACCCCTCCCACCTCGGACCTTCCAGTCTCTGGTTTTCTTCCCGTTAGTCATCTTTACTTTTCTAACTTTTTTTTTAATTATTGTTTTAGCTTTGAATTAATTTTTAACGTGGACACTTATAAATTAAACATCAAAATACTTTCTACAGCTAGAGAGAAAAAGAAATTTAATAATATTTAATAAAACCTATAAGATATTGATAGAGTATTTTTTTTATACTCATACTAAAAATTCTCTTTCTTACTAGTAGTGCTAGAGTTTGTTATTTTTTCTTAGTGGCTTGGGAACCAGAAAATTTAGAGTTTCTTTTTTTTTTCTTCCTAAATAATATATTAAGGCCTTGTTTGTTTGATAGTAGATGGATTTTGAGATTTATAGTTATTTAGTAGGAGGGAATGGATTAGGAGAATAATTTCAAACCCTTCACACAAATTTAAAAAACTTGATCCGTGTCAAACACAATAAGAGAAAATTCATGCCTTTCCTCTCTATTTTCCTCAACTATGATATATACATTTACTTCCTATTTTTCCTTCTCTCCTACCAAACTGTCACGCCCTCCAAACGGGATGGGTGACGTGGAGCTCGATTTGGGATTAATAAAACAGATTTTCAACCGGGCCCCACACTTAACTGCATTAAAATATAATTAAATTATAGAATTCCGGAGCCTCTGACACACAAGGCTCCACCCCACAGGACATACAGTATCGTACATACATGCTCATGTAAATAATCATTACAACAGACATCAACCACAGTCTAGTTAATCCAAATATTTCATAAGTTTACAGAATTCTCAGTTCCTTACATTTATACCCGAGGATGACCACAATCCTCACTTGATTCCAACAGCAGCACAACTCAGCTGCTCCGTAGCAAATATCCAGCTACTGTGCACCACTCCTAGAATCTCCTGGGAGGGGTTTAATACATTTAAAACATAAAACGTGAGCGAAAGGCCTAGTAGGATATAATTTGAAATAAACGTTATAAATAAATGAATAATAAATGTGCGAGGGAATACATAAATGAATAAGTAAATAAAATAAGACATTCAGTACCGACAGAACAGCCAGAACCTCACATCTTTTTTCTCAAAAGAAATATAACTGTAAATAACCGTTTTACAGGCTTCAGCAAGTAATTAGTACAAATTACTTACCTAACCAAGTGCCTCGCCTACCCGGACCGAGTTTCGGGTTCTGCCCCCGAGGATGCACTCTCCGCATCCTATCTAGGCTTACAGCAATAGACTCTGTTACCAGTTCACAAGAGCTCTTTGCTTAAGAAATCATTCATTAACATTTTGAAATCGTTAATACGCCCCCACGAACTACTCAAGCCGCGGGCCCTATGACTGGATAAGCCATGGTTTTCAAAACGTTTTCTTTCACAAACCAATCCCTTTCTTTAAAACATTTTCAAGGCCAAAATCATTTTTGAAAACAGGCTCACAAAGAGAAGGGATAGAAATCCTACCTCGCACTATCAAACCTGGGACTAGCGTTGTCTTTTTCGGCTTCCGCTTCCTCAAGTCCCTTCAGTCTGAATCCTCAGCGATTACTGATGCAAGACAACACTTTAGGATCAATTCTTATTCCTAAAGTAATCCAAATCTCAATTTCCAACCAAGATTTCCTATTAGTGTGCCCTAATCCATTTTCATGTTTCAAATTATCATTCCAAGGGTTTTCAATCCCAAATCAAGGATTAAAGATGCTAATCCATTCATCTCAAGTCCCCAAATGAAGCTAATTTGGGTTCTCCCCGAAAACAGGGGTCAAAACAGCGTTTTCAGGCTAAACATGGTCAAACCCCGTGTCAACTGGTCGACCGGTGACAGAGTAGTGCAACACTACCGGTCAACCAGCAGTGTGCACACCGGTCGACCGGTCAGCCTGTAATCCGGTCGACCGCATAGGTCGACCGGTTTCCATGTGATCCGGTCAACCGCACAGATCGACCGGTGGAATCAGCTGCGCGAGAGAAGCTCACGGAAATCAGTCTAAAAACCTACAAATCCAGTCCCAAATCGAGATATTTCAAAGGGAAACCACTAGATCTGGGTTCTAGGTCGTAAAACAAGTCTAAAGAATCCAAGATCTCTAATTTCTACCCTAGTTTTACTCAAAAACCATCAAAATCCGGTTTGAACTAAAAATAAGTTTTGAAATTCAAAAACTTGAGATTCAAGAGAGGTTCTTTTAGTAATCTTACCTCGAATCCTTCTCTTGACGTTGAAAACTTCTTTAAATCCTTCCTTGGTTCAAGATCCGTTTGATTTGGGACAAAAATGAGAGAGAGAGAGAGAGTGAGAGAGAGCACGGGAGAGTGAGTGAGAGAGAGTGAGACGCACGGGAAAGGAAGAGAAAAAGAAAAGAAAAGGAAAAAGGAGAAAGAAAAGAAAAGAAAAAGGAAAAGAAAAGGACATGTGTACAATATTTTAAAAGAACAGTCCAGAAATGCGCCCATACACACTTCTGGGTTAAAATAAATTACTGAGAATAATTTAAATACCTTGGAACTATTTAAACTCACACGTGTCAGAAACATTCATTAATTAAACTCAATTAATAATCCAGATTAGGCACACTAATAATCTCAATTACCTTAATTAATCTCAATTAATTCTTCAGGGTGTTACACAAACTCAGCCTAATGTAAATTTAAGTTTAAGTGAAGAAAAACTTGTAAACTGCATAATCATATATTCATCACAATGAGGTTTCTTTATTCATTTCTATTTGCAAGGCAGGCTCTTTTGATAGTTTAGAGTATTAGTGATTGTTGAACTTGATCACTCGATAATTAAGCAAGTTTATGCAAATGGGAAATGTTCTAATTTATTTTCCTTAATTCTTTTCTGCAAATGCTTAGGCTGTATGTTGTCCTGAAATTCATATTATGTATTATATAATAAAGAACTTATGTATTATATAGTAAGTAATAACCTGTAACAGCCATTTTTCTAACTGACAAATTCGTAGAAATAGATATTAGAAATTAACTTTAATAATGTTATGGTATTATAATTAGTTAATTCTAATATCACGTTGAATTATATTTTACAGGTGAACGCGACGAGAACTCAAGGTGCTAAGAACAAGTTCATGTCATTTTATAGAAATTATATATATGTTCTTTTCTTTTTGATGATTTGATAAATGAATACATGTTCATGATATGATGTACTTCATAGTATATTGCATGGAATTAAGTGTCTTTAGGAAAATTCTACGTTTTCTTTGATTTTTCCTTTTAGACAAAAAAATCATTTTCATGACGTTAATTTTCAGCTTTGTTTTAGACCTTTAAAATTCTGAAATTATTCCTCTATTTTATAGAAAAATGTAGAGCCTTTCATAAGCTTTCCAACGCCTACTCATTTGCATAAATCGAACATCGGAGTAAGAAGATGTGGCTAGTATATCATTCGGATATCCAGAAGTCGCCGACCAGGTTACTGCACGCGAACAAGAATGGAAATTCTAAAAGTTGACCTAACTCTTGTATTTGTCTTCCACATGATTTTACACCCTAATGACAGCCATTTCTCCAGCTGTTAAGGGTCATTTAATCAAAGAATTAATCCCTAAATTAATGCCAAATCAATCATTTTTAATTTTACTCTCTCTCTCTCTCTCTCTCTCTCTCTCTCTCTCTCTCTCTCTCTCTCTCTCTCTCTCTCTCTCTCATAACCTTTGGTGTTGGTTGTTGGTTTAAGATGAATAATTTCTTTGGATAATTTCTTTGGCTGACGATTGAAGAAGGATATATGTGATTTAGGTGAGGTTTTAATGTCCATGACTGCATCCTTTTATGCATCTTTTATTTTGGGATAATCATGTATGACCCGGTTATTGTTTTAGGTGTTTCGGTGTCTTCATAATTTGATAAATTCTAGAGAGGCATGTTAGGAAATATGTTATTTTCTTATATTATTGTTTCCTTTTTATGTTATAAATTGTGATTTCATAGAAACATGAGTTAGCATATTGTTTTTGAATTCGAGTTGCAAGATATGTGAATTTTGATGGTCATATTAATGTTTCTAATTCGCTTTGCCATGAGAATTTTTATAGAATGTGTGATTTAAATGTTTTAGGAACATGTCTTAGGGCTGGTTAAAGTATGCATATGGTTGGAATTGATTTTATCTTTAATGAATTTATTTTGGTATTTTTGAAGTTTACTGTGCTGGAAGTTTTCAGCTTATATGATCTGACTTTAAAATAGTGTTTGAGGGAACAAACGAACTCTGTTTTTTAACAAACAAGGTGTCGTTAGAAAGATCTTAATGTCTATTTTCATTTGACACCAGTTTCAGATTATTTTCAGTTTTATATGATTTGTTATAAATTTTTAAAGAGGTAAAGGTCAAGCTGTCAGTTTTTGTAAGATTTGGGAAATTTGTGTAATTATTGGGATTTTTTTTGTGTGTCTTGATGTTATTAAATGATGGAATTGGCCTTTTAAACGTTGTTTCAATATGATGAATGGATTTGATGAATTAATGTTTTTAATTTTATTATATTTATGATTTATGACATGAACGGTTTTATATGTGAGCACCCGAGGATCTCATGCGTCGCGTCACCGTTGAGAAATTTAAAAACGTTAAGCAAGGCATTTATGTAAGTACACTCTCACCTGTAACATGAATTGAATAATTGAGAAGTATATGATTTTGATGTTTATGATGATGTTATGACGCTTTTAATAATCCTCTTATGATGACGTTTTGAAGAAAAATGTATATATGTATTTTTTGTGTTTTTAAATGGTGTTGGTGACCGGTGAGCAGTCTTATTGTCACGGTTGGTATAAGATTTACTACCCCATGTTTTCTGTGACTAGCGCGCTATGATGGTATAACGTTGGACCCAATATATTATGGATTTTAAAGTTAAAATATGTTCAAAAATAATTATTCTCATGATGACATTTATTGTTGATGAATAAAAATGTTCATTTACATTTGTGAGAATTAAGTGTCTTACTAAGCCCTTATTTATATAAGTTATTTCATGTTGCAGACAATCTAAAGGGTAAGATGTAGCCATGGAGAATCTTAGAGCGAATGCGAGCTATGCGGGATAAGAAAACGGGAGAAACGATTATGTAATGAAAGTGCTTAAATTTAAATAAAGTTTTAATTTTTACTGTTCATTGTTTTGGAACTTTGGTTTATGGTGGTTTTGATTTTAAGAATATTTTAGACTTTTTTTTTTTAAGTTTATTTCAGGATATGGATTTTTATAATTAAGTTGAACTGAAAGGGTTTTTTTTTTTTTTTTTTTTTTTTTAAGAAGTTCAAAATTTTTAAAGTTAAAATATGTTTAAAAAAAAAATTCTAGGTTTTTTTTTTTTGAAGTTATTCAAAGCAAAGTGTTTCAAGCTTAACTATTTTCTGCATTCTTTAAGAGATAAGTGTTTAAAAGTTAAGATAACTGTGACGATTCGTGAAGAGTCGTTATGTAACCCCATTCTTTACAATTTATCTTTTATGTTATTTGCCTTCATTTGACTAGATTATTATTTTTTGGATATATTTGACTAAATTGTTGGCTCCTCTTAATATGCTAGCTATGGGGAAACGTTGGACTCAAGTTAATAACTTAGTGTACGTTTGGTATATGGGTTCTGCTACATTACAAATCCATGATTTTAATTTTGTTATAGTATTTTTCTCTCATATAATTAAGAATCATAGTTTGAATCTATATACTAAACGGGCCCTTAATTACATAAGAGAAGTTACTCAAAACATCCTTGTATTTTGCCTAAATACACTTGCGATTATAAAATCTGACACAAAATACCTCCTTAAGCAACATAGATCCAATTTACTTCTAATTAATTTGTTTGTGAACATTTGAGCAAATAAAACCCTACAGTAACTAAAACTCATTGCACTTATTTAACGCCTACGTACATAATTATCAAGATAGATCTATGTACTTCTAATTAATTTGCTTGTGAACATTGAATTAAATAAAACCCTACAATATATAAAATTCATTGTACGTACTTAACACATAGTAAAATTATGAATGCCCTTAATTAAAAACATAGATCCAATGTATATCTATTCATTTGCTTATGAACATTTAATCAAATAAAACCTTACAGTATATTAGATCCACCTCCACCTCAACTTCAAGAAAAAACAAACAACACTCGACTCATATTTTAAGACTATTTTTTTTTTTTGAAGTTTATTTTAAGGCGTCATTGTCCATAATATGTACTTAATAATAACAAGTTATTAATTTTTATTATTAGCGGGACATATGGAAACCTTTAACGGTTTTACTGTCATGTATTATATTATAAATTTATTGAATTTATTAATTTTAACCCATTGACCCAAATCGAAACCAACAAAATATTATATTATCACGATTATTAATTTATCGCGGTTTTATTGTATATGGCAATTTCACACTTAATCTATATTTAAAATGTTGTAAATATGCTATATAGCTCATGAGATTTCTTTTTTTTTTATTATTATTATTAACTTATAGACGGAATTAAGCAAAGATGGTAAATTTATTACTTTTCGATGGTTAGAAAGGAGTAAAAAAAAAAAAATATGAAGGCTTTTATAATAGTACTTTTTCTTTGAGCTGCTATGTGACGGCCTTTCTTCCTCCCTTTTTTTTTATTTTTTTCTTTCCATTTCTTTACTTTTTTATCTTTTAAATGTTTTGTTTTTTTGTTTTGTGAATTTCTTTTACAGTTTAATTTTTTATGTGAATTTTTTAAGAATAAATTTTATCACTTTACTCTTATAAAAGTTATTTTTTTTACATGAGTAATAATACTCTTTTCTTAGACTGCGACGTGGCGGCCTCCCTTCTTTTTTTTTGTGTGTGTTTTTTTTTTTCCTTCCTTTACTTTTTTATATTTATTCTTTTTATCTTTTAACTGTTTCACTTTTTTATTTTTTATTGAGACTTTTTTCAGTAGGCTTTCATATCGATAGTACTAATTTTTCACCGTTAGATTTAGTTAAAATCGCATTAGATTAAAAAAAATATCTAGAATAAATAATTTTTGATATAAATCTGACAGTTAAAAAGTAGAGAGCTAACGATAGTTTATTTTCTCTAGTCTTATCATAGAAACTCCATTTTTTGTATTTTTTTTAGAGTTTAATTTTTTAATGTAAATTTTTGCTCACTTTACTCTTATGAAAGTAATTTCTTTTTCATGTGTTTCTATTTTTTTGATCAATGATTAAATTAATTTTCTTCAAATGTGTTTCTACTTAATTATTTTATGTGCAATTCATGTGATATCAAAAGTTATGATTAGACCATATTTCTCTAGTATAGTTTATAGTTGGAGAGGCATGCGGCCTTATCTAAGTTCCAAAGATAAATTAAATTTTATAATTTTTACTCAAATTATTATTTAAAAAGGAGCAACTCTAAAAGTCCCGAAGGGACATATCTCTGACAGACTAAAGAAGTGAGTCTTGCGTAAGTCGCACTTAATAGAACCCACTTTTTGTGTCTGACGGGGAAGAAATGAGTTTTCTATAAAAATATGAAGTATAAAGGAGGAGAATATAATGAGTAGTAGATTTATGAAACTAAATTAAGTAAATAATAATTTAAAAATATTTGAAATAATAGTAATTTATGTGTTAAATGAATTATTTATCACATAAATAGTTTATTTATGATTAGTAAAAATATTTTTTCACGTAAATTTTCTTTTTATTATTGATAAAAAAAGTTTTTATATAAATAAAGATTTTTTTACTATATAAGTTATTTTTTACCAGTCGTAATGATTTAACACCGCTATTTACTTCAAATAATTTTAAAATACGTTATTTACTTAATTTAATTTTAAAAATCTGTGATTTACTATAATTTCTCTAGATTTTAAAGTAGAATACATTCCAGGTAATTAATTTACATCCACACTTTACAATGTACGAGTCTTGAATTCTTGTCCCTTACACTTGATTAATACTTTTTAGTTAAAAAATTATATTAATAAAAAAGTATTAATCAATAATAAAAAGTAAGAATGTTAAAATAATACAGTCAAACTTTAAAAGGTGACTTAGTTGCCCTTTCAAGTTTTGCCGATTTGAATTTGAAATTTCACATTTCTTTCATTGGTGCTACATTGAGGCCTTTGAAAAATCAGAAGATATTTTGTTAATATAAAAAAACGTCAAGACCTGCGTGGTCTTCACGACTGTCTCTGTCCCCCTATTTTTGAGTGAAATCTTTTCCAAATTGGATCTGAAATTATGTGTACCATTAGAATTTTCAATTTGGCATGAAATTTATTCAAATTGGAGTTTAAATTTGACCGACGTTGATGTTGAAAGTGGTTAGTGTAGAATTTGATGTATTTTCATGATTAAATTTGATCTGTTTGACTGCAAATTAGGATAGCACACGGTAATCTATAATGCAAAATTAGGACAGATTATCTTCAATTGATGTAATCTATAATGCAAAATTAGGACAGATTATCTTCAATTGATGTAATCTATAATGCAAAAGTATAGCACACGGTATTGTAGCATTTTCCAAAATTTAGATATTTATGTTTCAAAGTCCTACTAAGTCCAAGTCCAAGTCTTCGTCAATTTGTTGGAATTTTTGCTAGAGTCGTGTCTATATAAAATAAAGATAGTCCAGACGTCCAAGTCTTCGTCAATTATGATTCTTTTTTCAGAAAGATTTTTTTTAATAATTTATTAATGTGTAATGATATCTATTTTAGCAAAAAAAAAAAAAAAAAAAAAAAAAAAAAAAAAAAAAAAAAGAGAAGAGAAAAGGAGAAAAAAAAAAAAAGCAAATGGCGGTCTTTTAGAATACAACACGAAACAGACGTTGGTGTTCTTGACATGAAATGGAATAAAGATGCTTCTTTTATAAATTATTAAGATCAATGACTTTATAGCAATAATAATAATAATATTTTTTTCGGTTAATTAACAATAATAATAATAATTGTCCCGAGTGCAATTTTCACTTTCGACGTCTGGACTGTCTTTATTTCTTTATATATATATGTACACACACACACACACACATATATATATATATATATGTGTGTGTGTGTGTGTTTATATGGACGCGTTTTAATGACAAATAAATTTACCTTATCTTTTCATTTGAAGAAGAAAAACAATTGAGGAGGGAGAAGAGCTATGGCCGAAATAGTGGATGTGAATCCGAAGCCGAAGAAAGGCCTGAGTTCAAAGCTCGTTGACTGGTTCGAGAATGTTGTCGTAAAGCTCATGTACGACTCTTCTCACTCTCACCATTATCTCTCCGGTAACTTTGCTCCGCTTCCGCATGAAACTCCTCCAACGACGGACCTTCCGGTCTCCGGTTCGCTTCCTGTTAGTAATCGTTTCCTTTCTAGTAACGACTATCAGATCAAAGAATATTCTTTTTTTCTCTTTGGAAGAACTTGATCACTCCATAATCAAGCAAGTTTATCTTTTCTGCAAATTATACCAGTACTAAGCTGCATGTTGTCCTCTTTGTGCTGCCATGCATTTTGTGTGTTACAGGAATGCTTAAATGGAGAGTTTGTTCGGATGTGTCCCAATCCCAAGTTCCGCCCAGTGGCTGGATATCACTGGTATGCCTTTCCCTTCCTATAAATCCTTTACACACACACGCAAACATGTATATACGGGTGTGGTTATAATGGTTACTGTAAAACATGTGATATTGATTCGACTTCTGTAATAAATTGAAAAGTTGAACAAAAAATTCTCTCATAATGAATGAGATTTTTATCACGTCACGTCATCAACTTTGTACATTTGATGAATAACTACCGATGGAAATGTAACCATTAGAAACTCACACACACTTAATAAACTTGTAGGAGAAAGAAGGTTTTCATATGGGCATGTATTTAATTCCTTCAGATAAGCTGAAAGTTTCATCATTAGACGGTTTTTTCTTTTTTTTTTTTCTTTTTGGCTTATTCCTTTGTTGCTGTCTTATGCAGGTTTGATGGAGATGGGTGTGTGATTTTCTGCTACCTCATTGATTTATTCACATTTCTCACTATAACTTTTCAGTTCAACATTTTGGAAGTTGTATAATATGATTCAATAGATATATGCGTGTTACTAGTTAATGACATGTTGAATTTGCAGTATGGTCCATGGTGTGCGCATCAAAGATGGAAAAGCAACATACGTCTCCCGTTATGTGAAAACATCGCGTCTTAAACAAGAAGAATATTTTGGAGCTGCTAAATATTTGAAGGTATGCAAGTAGATATACTATATTGGACATTTTTACAATTTAAGCTTTCACTTAGTAATACTCGATGAGGCGCTTTATTTTCAATCAGACTTCAGGCTCATGATCTCTATACGTTCTTGTGAGAATATGGTCAATTCATGGAAATGAAAAGTATATATTATCTTAAAGTTATGAGTTAGATTAATGGTTATTTTGCTTTGTGAAATCCGCTTATGGTTAGATATTCTATAAAATGATTTAGGTGCGTTAGTTAGTTTCAGAATTCCTTTTGAGAGTTTTCTTATATGCAATTTTCAGTATGGAGACCTTAAAGGGCTTTCTGGATTTTTCATGTTTATCGTGCAAATGCTGAGAGGAATGCTTAAAGTATTAGATCATTCGTATGGAGGTGGAACAGGTATATAATTTTGGTCTATTAATGAAGTTGAAATTCTCATCTGTATATCAGCCTTGTCTTACTGTAAGAGCGCACACAGCTAATACTGAAACAATTGCCTTATAGTGTCAATAATATTGCAGCTCAATCACTAGCTATTTTCTTTATCCTTTTAGTGGTGTCAAGAACTAACTCTTGATCACCCTCTTCCAGCTAATACAGCTCTCGTGTATCACAGTGGAAAACTTCTAGCGCTTCATGAAGTAGACAAACCTTGTAAGCATATACAACTCTTTCTTCTTTTATCTCTTGAATTACGCGCGAGCGCGCGCGCACACATATATAGAACTTGGGTGCGGGATCAAAACTCAAGACATTAGTTTTGATGCGAGTGTGGAATGCCCGGTAAGCTAAGCCTGCAATGGCTAAACTCCATGTGTTCAAATTCTAAGTGGACAATAAGCCTGCAACCAGTGTAATTTTTCAATGGTTTCTTTTGGTTTTCGTTGCCGTTTACAATAAAATCAGTTATGAAAATCTCTTGCTCAATTGGAATGAAATTATTATCCGCGATTCACGACACAGATGTCCTTAAAGTCTTGGAAGATGGAGATCTGGAGACACTTGGCATGCTGGATTATGACAAGAGATTGCAGCATTCATTCACAGCTCATCCGAAAATTGACCCATTTACTGGTATAGGCACGTCTTCATAAAACATATTTACTTTTGCCTACATGATAAATTCTTTTTTTAGTACTCAGAGAGCTCTTAATGCAGGCGAAATGTTTTCATTTGGTTATGCGCAAACACCTCCATACGTCACTTACAGAGTCACTTCAAAGGATGGTTTCATGCACGATCCAGTGCCTATAACGATACCAGACCCCGTCATGATGCATGACTTTGCCATTACAGAAAATTATGCCATTTTCATGGATCTTCCATTCTTTTTCAAACCAAAGGTATGTTAATTAGTTAGGCATCAATGCTATAGGATGAAAGTATAAGAAACAAATCTGGTTTCATCTTGTATGTTAATTGTTTTCATAAAATGAATTCCAAGTGATGGCATTTTGGTTACCATGATTAAGACAACCTTTCCAATTTTCAGGAAATGGTGAAGGAAAATAAGATGATATACCAATTTGACACAACAAAAAAAGCACGCTTCGGTGTGCTTCCACGGTATGCAAAGAATGAGCTTCTAATAAAATGGTTCGAGCTACCGAGCTGCTTCATATTCCATAATGGTGAGCAGATTTGGATTTCCAACTTATGCATGCAAGAAAGAACATCTATTTTAAGGCCAAGTTTGCCAGTAGTAGCTGAGAAAGTCTCGCAGAAGTTATGTTGCTCTAACTTCGTTTTATAATTCTATTAGCTAACGCGTGGGAGGAGGAGGATGAAGTTGTTCTAATCACATGCCGCCTTGAGAATCCGGATTTGGTGATTGTCGGTGGGAAGGTCCAAGAAAAGCTTGAGAATCCCTTAGAGGAGCTGTAAGATGATTTTTCACCCTATTTGTTGATGTGAAATCTTCTTTGCGGTGTTTGTATAAGCTTCTAATATTACAATTCTTTCAGGTATGAAATGAGATTCAACATGAAAACTTGTCTAGCATCACAGAGAAAACTCTCAGAGAAGATGGTAGATTTTCCAAGAATAAATGAGAGCTACACTGGCAGGTATATATATTCAGACATCTTTCTCATTGTGGATCATTCTGATATTCATACTTGCCAAAAAGTTTGTAACATTACTGTCTGTCTTTCTGATGGTCTCCCATTTCACAAATTATTGTCATTTTCTGCGAGTTAAATCAGGAAACAACGTTATGTGTATGTAACAAGACTTGACAACATTGCAAAAGTTAGCGGGATTGTCAAGTTTGATTTACATGCTGAGCCAGAAAGTGGGAAAACATGCATTGAGGTTGGTGGAAATGTTCAAGGTCTGTATGACCCGGGACCCGGTCGATTCGGCTCCGAGGCTATATTCGTCCCCAAGGTTCCTGGAATCACTTCTGAAGAAGATGATGGCTACCTAATATTCTTCGCACACGATGAGAATACCGGGTACTACTTTCTTCTCTCACACTATTAACAAAAGTTTAGACTTACCCCTTTCAATTTAATGGCCAAATATATTGGTAGTGCTAGTCCTTCACAATATAACTCCTGTTTCCAACATTTTGTGACAAAAAAAATGCTATTTATTAGCAAGCATGATGTAGTCACCACATAACAGAGTCGAATCCGGTCTAATATTACATCACTAGTGTTGATGAATAGCGGTGTTCTTTATTGTATTATAAAGTGAATCTTATTGAGGATAGAATGCATTCTGAGGTTGGATTATTTGACGATGCAGAAAATCATCAGTTCATGTGATTGATGCAAAAACAATGTCACCAGATCCAGTAGCAGTTGTTGATTTGCCCCATAGAGTTCCATATGGATTCCATGCCTTATTTGTGACTGAGGTCAGTATTACTTTTTTAATTGTATTACTTGGGACTTTTATGATTGCTTTCTTTTTTAAGTTGAAACATAAGCTGAGATCTTTAAAATAAAGATCTAACTATTCATATATTTAAGGTGAAATGCATAATTATTAAGGACCAATTAACGCATATAGTAGATATTAGTAATAAAAAAAAATTAATTATCATTTAAAATTTGACAGTTGATAAGATAAAACGCATCAATGTACCACTACTTATAATAGGTTGTCCCAAAATGTGTGGCCGACCAATATTAGTGTCACTAATGACACTAAGTGACACTAAACAGTAATGCTTACTCAATTTAATGAGAAAATAAAAAAAAATAGAAAAATGAAATGTCAGATGCTGCGGTTGAAAAACATGGAGCTAAGGCCTAAGTGTTTAATTAAACGGTTAGGTGCTATGGAGCATTTTCTCTCTCTTTTACTTGTGTTGTCCAATATTTGTAACTTCTGATATTAGTTATTAGTGATTCTAACGTTTTGATTTTTTATGGTCAATATTATTGATCAGGAACAATTGCAAGAACAAGCAATGTTCTGAACTGAAGAAATATTTGATGGAGATCAGAAGAAACAAAGTTCTGCCAATAAGCATTGTCACACACACTGAAATTCTTATCATTTATATAAATAATTATGATACCAAACTCTTATCATTTATATAAATAATTATGATACCAAACTCTTATCATTTATATAAATAATTATGATACCAAACTCTTATCATTTATATAAATAATTATGATACCAAACTCTTATCATTTATATAAATAATCATGATACCCAATCTTTGCAATAGTGAGTTCATATTCTATAAAGAATTCAGTGATCTTTTTTGTTATCTCCATAATTTGTTTGACAACGTGGAAGGAACTTCCTTGAATGATACAACTTTATTAATTTTCATCTTTTTCTTGTACTTTTTCTCCAAGTTGCGTGAAGCTGTCTCCTTAATCATGTGCATATTATCAAATAAACATTAAATAAAAAAATAAATAAAAATGAGCGCATCCGCTGTTTAACTTCCTCGTCACTTGACAATTTTGTCCCTAATTTTTTTTTCCTGACAATTAAGCTCCTAAATATACAATAATAGTGACTAACTCCCTTGTGGTTAAATTTTAGATTGAATAGTAATAAATTTTTAACATTTGTGCTCTTAATTTTTTTTAAAAATTTAACTCTCATAAATTAATAAATTTAACTACAATTTTTTATAATAAGTTCAAGCATTATTACAAGAAGAAAAAAATGAAGTCAAAAGTGATAAATTATGGAAAATTTAAGGACAAGTATTCCAGAAACAAACAAACAATTTTCTAGAAAAAAGAAAAAAACCAAACAATGGCCTTTTTCAAATGGTTCATGGAACATGTTCCAAAGCAATAGAAGACAAAACCACGACTGTTTAATAACAGACAAACATTTTTTTTCTTCTTTTCCAGGGAGACGTACAATTATTACTGCATACACAGCAAATTATTGAAATGTACAATTATTACTGCATCCACAGCAAATTATTGAAATGTACAATTATTACTGCATCCACAGCAAATTATTGGAATTGATATCTGCAGAGCGACTATTAGAAAAGTTCTAACATGTAACATTATCCTCTACCAGTAGAAGCTGCTTTTTTTTTTTTTGTTAAATTAATTTTTTAACAATTTGATCTATGCCAAAGAATAATAATGTGCGGTATGTTATAAATTATTAAAATAAATATTATAATTGTGATTTTAATGATTATTTTATATTTATTTGTTAATATTTATGTGATAATTATTTAACTGTTATAATAAATTAAATAATTAATTAAAAAAGTATGTAACAATTAATTTTTATTAGATTCTTATTAAGCTACATTATTAAAGTTTTATATTTAATGTAATCACGGTAAAAATGTGACCATTAAAAACTCGTTACATATATATAATTAGCACAACCCTGAAAACGTATGTGTTATGAATTATATCAAAATATAATGAATTTTAGAATTGAATAAGAAATAAAATAATTAAAAAATAACGTGATTCGACTTTAAGTTTAACAAAAATGACGAGTGTGCGGACACGAGTGCTGGTCCAGCCGTTTGGCTGAGCATAAAGCTGTGCTTGAGGTTACGTTGGACGTCCGTCTCCCAGGATACAACGACAACGACGGTAGCTCGATGCACTTTCAGAACCGTCCGGCGAACTAGAACTTGATCTTTCCTCTATCACCAAAATTGAACTACAAGAACACAAAGCACAACAACACGGGGCAGAAACAGAAGCGAGAGAAGAGAAGAAGAATTCTGAAAAATGAGTGATTTGTTCATGTGGAAGATGGCCCTTATATAGCCTGCCCGTGAGGGATGTTACAAGGCTGTAATGAAGGTGAATAAAACCAATTTATTCATGGTTTGATGGTGCTTGAATTCTGTGGTTACAGCCCCTGAAATTCCTGGATGAATCTGGTCCAAAAAGAAGTCTACAACCGGAGGTTTAATGTCCATAAACCAATGGTTATTTATGCAGTTTCTACATCCTTCACTAATGCATATTTTAAACAGCCACTAATGAATCAGTTTCAGAATTTAGTTGGCAAAATAAAAGAAAAAATTGCAAAAGGTAGCTCGCACGGAGCGAGTTTTCCGGTCCGGCATTCGTGTCCGCAGGTCGCGGGCGCACACATTGGCCTCCAACCCGCCGGGATCGTGAATCGCACCCCCCCTGCGCGTGAGAGAATCACGATCCCGGCGGGTTGGGGGCCAATGTGTGCGGACACGAGTGCCGGTCCAATTTGGCTGAGCATAAAGCTGTGCTTGAGGTTACGTTGCACGTCCGTCTCCCAGGATACAACGACAACGACGGTAGCTCATGCACTTTCAGAACCGTCCGGCGAACTAGAACTTGATCTTTCCTTTATCACCAAAACCGAACTACAAGAACACAAAGCACAACAACACGGGGACAGAAACAGAAGCGAGAGAAAAGAAGAAGAATTCTGAAAAATGAGTGCTTTGTTCATGTGGAGGATGGCCCTTATATAGCCTGCCCGTGTGGGATGTTACAAGGCTGTAATGAAGGTGAATAAAACCAATTTATTCATGGTTTGATGGTGCTTGAATTCTGTGGTTACAGCCCCTAGAATTCCCGGATGAATCTAGTCCAAAAAGAAGTCTACAACCGGAGGTTTAATGTCCATAAACCAATGGTTGTTGTTACAGTTTCTACATCCTTCACTAATGCAGATTTTAAACAGCCACTAATGAATAAGTTTCGGAATTTAGTTGGCAAAATAAAAGAAAAAATTGCAAAAGGTAGCTCGCACGGAGCGAGTTTTCTGGTCTGGCATTCGTGTCCGCAGGTCGCGGGCGCACACATTGGCCCCCAACCCGCCGGGATCGTGATTCGCACCCCCCCTTGCGCGTGAGAGAGCGTCCCTGGTATACATGCTTACCTAGGCTTCAAAGTGCAATCACTTATAAACACCACATTGGCTGAACATAAAGCTGTGCTTGGGGTTACGTTGGACGTCCGTCTCCCAGGATACAACGACAACGACGGTAGCTCGATGCACTTTCAGAACCGTCCAGCGAACTAGAACTTGATCTTTCCTCTATCACCAAAACCGAACTACAAGAACACTAAGCACAACAACACGGGGACAGAAACAGAAGTGATAAAGAGAAGAATTTTGAAAAATGAGTGCTTTGTTCATGTGGAGGATGGCCCTTATATAGCCTGCTCGTGAGGGATGTTACAAGGCTGTAATGAAGGTGAATAAAACCAATTTATTCATGGTTTGATGGTGCTTGAATTCTGTGGTTACAGCCCCTGGAATTCCCGAATGAATCTGGTCCAAAAAGAAGTCTACAACCGGAGGTTTAATGTCCATAAACCAATGGTTATTGTTGCAGTTTCTACATCTTTCACTAATGCAGATTTTAAACAGCCACTAATGAATCAGTTTCGGAATTTAGTTGGCAAAATAAAAGAAAAAATTGCAAAAGGTAGCTCGCACGGAGCGAGTTTTCTGGTCTGGCATTCGTGTCCGCAGGTCGCGGGCGCACACATTGGCCCCCAACCCGCCGGGATCATGATTCGCACCCCCCCTGCGCGTGAGAAAGCGTCTCTGGTATACATGCTTACCTAGGCTTCAAAGTGCAATCACTTATAAACACCACATTGGCTTCCCTCCTAGCCAATGTGGGATTTTTACAATTTTCTTCTTCATTTACCATTCCAAGTACCATACTTAGACCATCAATTTCTCATTCACCCAAAAACCATTTTGAGTGTATGAATACTCGATTTCGATCTCCAAGCCCACATCAGCCGGTCCCATATCTTTCATGTCAAACCTTGAGTTCAACATGTGTTTAGTAGATCTGACCATCCGATCATTACTACCTACAATTATTATGTCATCTACATACTGAGGGAATGGCCATTAGTGAATCCTTTCAGGTAGCTGCACTGGTTGATAAGCTACCCCCCTCTTGGAAGGAATTCAAGAGCTATCTGATGCACAAGAGGAAAGAGATGATCGTTGAGCAATTGGTTGTCAGGCTTCGCATTGAAGAAGACAATAGGCGGACTGAGAAGAAGTTCTCCAATGCAACCGTGAGCTCTGCTAAGGCTAATGTGGTGGAGCATGATAGTTCTAAGAAGAAAGGAAAGCCCGGATCCAAGTTGGGACCAAAGGGAGGAATTGCCAAGAAGAAATTCCAAGGAAAGTGCTTCAATTGCAACAAGGTTGGGCACAAATTGGCAGATTGCAGGCTGCCAAAATGAAACAAGGATAAGGAGGCCAATGCTGTGGACACCATTTCTAAGGAAGTGTCCGACATCAGCTTGTCTGCTGTGGTCTCCGAAGTAAACTTGGTCGACTCCAATCCAAAGGAGTGGTGGCTCAATACTGGGGCTACAAGACACAGCTGCTGTGACCGAGCCGAGTTTGCTGATCTAGTTCCGTTAGAAACTGGAGAGAAGCTCTTCATGGGCAACTCTGCAACTTCTGTGATCAATGGCCAAGGAACGGTGTTCTTAAAGATGACCTCGGGCAAGGAAGTGAAGCTCCACAACGTGCTTTATGTGCCTGACATCCGGAAGAATCTCATATCCAGGACAATGCTGAGCATGCACAGCTTCAGGATGGTGTTTGAAGCCGATAAGATAGTTTTTTCCAAAATGGGAATGTATGTGGGAAGGAGTTATGTAAAAAGTGGCATGTGGAAAATGAATGCCATAGCTGTAAAACCCAAAAAGATGAATAAAAAGAAAGAGTCTTCCGTTTATATGCTTGAGTCTTCTAACTTATGGCATGGTAGACTAGGACATGTTAATTATGATACTTTGTGTAGATTAATTAACTTGGATCACATTCCCACATTTCATATCGATTCCAAACATAAATGTGAAATTTGTGTAGAGGCAAAACTAACAAGGTCATCATTCCAAACAATAGAAAGGAATACTGAGCCACTTGATTTAATACATAGTGATGTTTGTGACTTAAAGTTTGTTCAAACTAGAGGTGGTAATAAGTATTTTATCACTTTCATTAATGATAGCACAAAGTATTGCTATGTATATTTGCTGAAAAGCAAAGATGAAGCTGTAGAGAAATTTGCTCTCTACAAGCAAGAAGTTGAAAACCAACTTAATAAAAAGATTAAGATGGTAAGAAGTGACCGA